GCACATAAGGAAGGAGAAAATTACTTCTTAGTAATTTAAAATAATATGCTAATCATCACTTATAATTAACTGTTTGATTAGTGTTTAATTTTGTGCATTTATTTATACATTGGTAAAACTATCGTCAGAGCTTCATTTTGATAGTGTTATGGAATGTACAGGTGTGGTAAGATGGCTTCCCCGCAAAGCAGTTTTTAGGGTTGCCATAAAATGGCAAGGGAAGGCTGGGTTGCCACATTTGGTGAGAAATCGCTCATTTGGTGGTCTAATTGGCGATATATCATGGACAGATGGAGAAACTTCTGGAATGAATTCTTACCGGTTTAGCCCAGAATGTTCTCGAACACAAGCCAAAAGCTACATAAACCCTGCTGGTCCGCAGTCAGTGTGTGTGTGCCTCGTCTAGCGAGCTGATAGTCAGTCATTGAGCGCGTGTCTCGAAGTCTAGCGCCGATTTGGTCGTCAAGTGTATCGAAGAGTCTCTTAGTGTATCGCGGTTAGTGCATCGTTGAGAGAGAGTGTTAAGCTCCGGGAACGACAGAACCGAAGAGTCGGAAGCTATGCACTGTGTGTCGTCGTGCGCATCGCGAGTTGTAGCGTGGAGTCTCGAGAGTATGTATTATTTTATAATTTATAATTATAATATTTATAATTATTTTATAATTGATTTTTATAATAAGGAAATAATTAAAATATTATTTTATAATTATACATCTTTTTTAGCTTTGGCTAATTATATGTATATTAATAACACAATGGAAAAAGAAATTTATGTAATTATAATTATTATAAAAATTAAAGATTATTATAGTTATTTAATTATAATAAATAATTATTACATTTCTTTTTGATTGTTACACTAAAATCTATATGCATTATTATACATATTTGGATTTTTGGGAAGGGACGGACAAAATTTATTTTATGAAAAAGAGGGAAAAAAAATTCTTGCAAAAAAGATCACAATATTGGCAAATTTCATATTAAATAAACTATAGTTATGGAAGATCCAGTTCAGACGGGTGAAAACTTACACTTTTTTCAACTATAAAAGAATACTTTTGTTAAAAAATATGGTTCTATTATTTTTACAAGTAAATGAAATATGCACTATTCACATAAAATTTATATATTATGGGAAAAAAATTTCAAAATTTTTGGTTTTCTACTAGAACTGCAGATCAATGCGAATCTTCATGTTTATTTGTGAGAATATGAAACAAAAGTGTGAACTGACGACATGGGGACTTCTCCTCCTTTGATAGTAAATTCTCTCTTTTTGCCGAAGAATGAACTCTCATGTACCTCTTTCACACTGTGACATGTAAATAACACACCTTTTGGACAACTATGCGTTCTGTAGAATGCCAGTCAAGGCTGCATTTGCTACAGTCAAACTATAGTTAACTCTTATATGCTAGAAGTAACTAAGTGAATTAATAATTATTCTAGCATTTAAGTACATAATACTTCAGAAGTTTTAAGTTTTATTCACACATAAAATAGCTAACAAATCTTAAAATTACATGCCTAGTTATCTTTAGTTCTTTCTCTGTGGTGGTCAGGAGTTTACAATGGTGTAAATGAAAAATTCTCTTTCTATATAAGTTAACAATATGAATGAAACTATGAATGGCAACATAAAAAAAAAATGTGGGATCTTGTTAGATTGCATGAATATCCATGGATAAGGAATGAAGCAAAAATTAGAGACACACAACAGTTATTAGCGTTTTGGTTTTATAAACATACAAGGTGGTTATAATTAAAGTAGCCCTATTCAGACCACTCTAGAATCTGTTCTACTTATTGAATTTTGATGATATTTAGTATATATGTTATACGAACCGTGGAAAAACGATTTCTGCAATTAAAATAATAATAATAATAATAATTTTAAATTTTGACCACCAGGGGAAATTGTGGCACCAAAAGAAACACAATAAATCTGTCAGGATCATTAAAATTTATTTCAGTTACAGAATCTGCTCAATGTGTGCTCCATTGACATCAATTATGTGTTGAAAGTGCATTACAGCGTGTTTAATGATAGTGTGAAGTAACTCTCGAGGGATTTCAGCAAGATGGCATGTAATGCTGGCTTTCAACTCGGCTAAGTCATAATTCCTCCTCCATAAACACGGTCTTTTAGAAATCCCCACAAACAGAAATCACAGGGATTTAAGTGGGGTGAATGAGGAGGCCAGGCATCAGGAAAAACTCCGGATATTACATGATTCTTGCTAAAGTTAACATGAAGCAATTCTTTGACTTGTTGCCCAATGTGAGGAGTTGCTCCATCTTGCATGAAGACAAAGGGTCTGATAAAACAGTTTTACCAGTAAAGTTTGATCTTACTTCTATAAGAGCATGATTAATGATGACAAAGGCACGTGGAATGATTTTCTGGCTCTGGCTGCAAGTCTATTTACAAGTTTGACTAATTTGCATAAGGAATTTTTTAAAATTGATATCTGGTGGTCAAAATTTGAACTATTTTTTCCTTGCAGAACTCTTTCCCCCCCCCCATAATACATATAATGTATATACCAAATTTCATCAAAATCTGATAGGCAGAATGGGTTCTACACAGGTGGTCACTTTAATTATAACCACCCTGTATAATAATTCTACAAGACACCAATGAGCCATTACATTATGACCACTCCTAACCTAGAGCAATAAACTCATCTGGAGACAAAACTACGGCACACACGATTGATGCTGGAGTATATAAAGCATCCAAGCACTATTTTTCCACATGTAGAATGTTCAGTAACATAATAGAAAAGCAGATGATTTATCAGATTTCAATAAAGGTCAAATCGTCATGGCTCAGCACCTGGGAACATTGATTTCAGAAACATCCTATTCATGTGCAGTCATTGTGAATACAGTACAAAGTCCGGAATGATCCATAATCTGGACCTCAAAGCCACAAACTTACGCATGCGCGTTTAATGCGCACATCCGCTATGCATGTGCGTAAAGCCAGTAAAGCGTGTACCTTAAACAACCTTGTGTGTACACATGAGCGTTTCCGATAGTGAAGAAAGTGAGGTTATTGAAAACGAAAAAATTTCAATTGACAAGTTAGTCGGTATTCTCGACACAGCAATTACAGGATTTGCACAGTGGAACTTTGTAACTGAACAAGAAATTATGTCTGTTTATAGAAGAGAGAATTAAAGAGAAAGTATTAGCACAAAAAAACGAAGCAACTTAAACAACTTACACACGTTTAATAAAGTAAAAAAGTAAATATTAAGGCTTTTTTTTTTGTAAATTTTGATACCCTTTAGATCCTAATTCCCCTTTATTTCATAAATTACGGTTTCATATTTTTAATTCTATAATTTCTGCATGCCATCTTACCAGATTTAAATTGATGATCTATAATCCGGAAAAAACCACTAATCCAATATCGTTGAAGTCTCGACAAGTTCGGATTATGGACTTTTTACTGTACTTGTCAAAACTGGTGTATGGATGGTGAAACAACAAGTCTGCGGGCCAATGGTTTGTCAGCTATGGCACATTAATTCCAGAGGAGAGCAAAGACTGTTGCACATTATTCAGCATAACCTAAGGCTTATAATGTCCAAAATCACTGGCAACTACAACAGTGGCGACTTAGACACTATCTCTACATATGGACTTTTGCAGCCATTGCCCAAATCATGTTCTGTGCTGATGGCACATCATTGCTAACAGTGTCTGCAATGGGCAAAAGAACATGGGCACTGGACATAGAGGAATGGAAGAAAGTCATCTACTCCAATGAATTATATTTTCTACTCAATCCCGCTGATCAGCAAGTATGAATATGCCAATTTCCTATGGAAACCCTAGCACCTCAGTGCACAGTTGGCAGGATAAAAGGTGGTGATGGCAGCATTATGGGTGATATTTTCATGGGGCATGTAATTCCCATAGAACAATGATTCATGTCTGTACACTATATGAACATCACTGCAGACCAGGTGCACCCCTTTATGGCAACATTGTTCCTGGCAGGTGATGACATTTACCACCAAGATAATGCACCACATCACAAGAGCCTAATCCTTAGGGAGTGGTTCAAGGAACATTCTGGTGAATTTCCTCTTCTCCAAATTGACTTGACATGAATCCAATCGAATATTTGTGGTTCCACCTGGAAAGCCGAATTCTTGTTGCAAAGCTACTGCCTCACAATGTGTGGGTATTCCAGGACCAGCTGGTGAATACATGGTACCAGATACCTCAGACTATCTATCAGCAGTTTGTTAACTCAACGACTCACCAGGTAATGGCAGTTTTGTGAATGAAGGGTGATCCTACTTTATAATAACAGGTGGTCATAATGTAATAACTATTCAGTGTATGTGGTAAAATATTTTAAAATATGTGACAAGCTATTTTAAATTTTAGGTTAAAAAGTATCATTCAATAAAATGCAATCCCTTGCAAAATTTACTGTTAGAAAAAAATTTTTATTTTACATACAATGAAAACTTAAAAAAATGGAAGAATCAAACACATAAAATTACACATAAACTGTGCAAATTGATGACCAAAATTAAATAAAAAAGTATTTACGTAAAAATTAATATAATTTCATATAATAATTAACATTAGCAGTCATACAGTAATTATATATATTATTCTTTATTATATAACTAGTTTGTATTTTAATTCCTTATATTATACAATAATATTCTTCATTATTATAGTTTTACCCATTGCCATTATTATATGGAATGTTATATAATCATTATTTCATATAATAATAATGATCATATAACATTCCATATAATAATTCACATTAGGTTTTGAATGCATTTCATATAAAAGTTTTTTTAGGTTATAGTAACTATTCTTAAATTAAGTAACTATTCTTAAATTAAGTATTTTTAAAGCCAGAAACAATAAATCTATATCTTTCACTTCTTTCTTCTAAGATTTTTGGCAACGTTCTCTTATATGCTGCATGCATGGTACAAAAAAGAAAGAAAAACTTGGGGCTAAAGACTTTTTTTATTATGACAATTTAAAAAGTACAAAGGAGCACAAAAGCATGATTTGTAGGATGATTTCTCTTTCTTTGGATAATCTCACACGGATTTACAATTGCTTATAACATAAAATAATCTTTAAATTAATTATTTGCAATTTACCACTGCGATACAGTCACACAGACAACAAAAGCAAAAGAAAAGGGAGAACTACAACTAGATTGAAGGGTTAAAACAAGCACTTTGTATGACAAAAGATGTTTCCTCGGTATGTCGTTTAAAAAGGGCCGTTTTGGCCGATGATCTAGAACCACGGTCGTCGTGCTGTCGGAAGACATCAGAATTCATCGGAGGACGGCAAGCGCACCCAAAAGGCACATGTGGCTCTTTTATTTTAACGACAAACAGTGACTTTCTCATTACTAAGTAGATTAAGTTTCAACCAAATCCACGGGGATGGGACAAAATGAACAGAAGAAAAATAATTGAGCTGGGATAGTAGGAAATTTTTTTTTACACAGTTTTTTTCCAAAAAACGTTCTTGTTGACACAGTATTGCACACCAACATCACACAATCTCATACTATTATTCACATCCTAATTAAAATGATAAGAAAATGCCAAAAAATTAATTTGTTATAAATAAATTATAGAATTACACAACATAATTCTTGCAATGTAATTTGTACCATTTACAAAATGATTGTGACCTTAAAATAATATAACATCCTCAGAAAGGAAAACAATCAACAAAGTTCCTTCTTTTTCTTTAAATATAGTGCTAAGTATTAGACTGCTAATGTTGGTTGAATCTCAATCAGGCGAAAGCTACACAAAGTCCAGCTCGAAAAGAGGCCGTTTCAACCATTCTAGAGATCGCTCTCCCCATACAGTGCCGTAGAGAAGGACATGTAGTCCAGAGCTCCGGGAATAGCTCCAGGTCCCTTGTACGGTCCCATGCGCTGGATGCAGTACTCGGCTTGGTCGGGAGGTAATTCCCTGCGCAACTCTTCTGCAGTGATATAAGGCTAGAGCACAAAATAAAATTAGTATAAAGATATGTTAACAAAATGCTTATCACTTATTTTAAACAACACTTAACTCTCAGAAAATTTAAACATAAATTTTCCAAATCCTAATACTTTAAAATATTCTAAGACTCTTTCAAAACTAAACATTTTGAAAATTACTTCTGAAAATGTTTACGGATACATAATGCAGCCATCTAAAACCACATATAAATGATGTAATCCTGGATAAAAGCACCTAACAACAAAACTGTAGTCCTTCCAATCTTATCTACAGATTGCTCTCAAAAGAATGTATTTAGTTAATAATAATTATGGCAAATTAAAAAAAAAAAGGTGAACTTGGAGCTTAATTAAACGATTTCACATAGTCTCCTTAAAATTATTTGTATCCATTATTTCTGAGTGCTATAAAAACAATTTTCTGAAATAGATGATTTTTCCACCCAATATTATTAATCAAGCAGTTAAAAAATTCTCATCTCAACACACTAAAAGGCACACTCTTGTTTTAGGAGATTATAAAAATTCTGTTGTCATTCCCTTCTTTCCATCAATTAGCTATAAAGTTGCACATATTTTGCAGAAATTTAACTTTCGGGTTGTTTATTCTCCCATCAATAAAATTCCAAGTTCCATACTCAAGGATCCCATTCCGGATATGAATTCCTGGGGTATTTATAGGATTCCTTGCCAGTGTGGTTATTTACATTGGCCAAAACTAAGAGAGCCTTAAAATTTCGCGTCAAGGAACATGAGGCATATGTTAGAAAAAAGGAAACACAGAAGTCTTCTGTTGCTCAACATTGTTGGTCCGAAAACCACACTTTCAATTTTTCTGCTGCCAAAATTATTCAAAAAACATCTTCTATTGGAGAAACTGGATTTTCTAGAGGCATTTCACATTCATAAAAGTCTTTCTGTTCTAGTTAACGATCCTAATTCCAATCCAAATCTTTGCCTTCGGCCTTTAAAGAAATTATGTTTTAGTTTCTGGTTTTCATCACCAACAGATGGTGCCACTTGCTTATTCTTGTCCAGGCTTTCTTATCTTATCTAATCATTATTTCCTATCTTGTTCATTTGCGGTTTTGCAGCTGAAGATGGTGGTTCGGTAAAACCATCGAAACTAGTCTTGTGAAAATTTTGTAAATATAACGCTGATTTTTGTTGTTCTGAATTAGTATTTATTCAGCGTGTTATTGTGTCTTAATTAGATGATTTACTTGTCATGACATTCTCTACCATTTCTAAAATGTGCATTTAACTCATTTCTCATGGTTTATATATACATCTTGGATTATCTGTTTATCTGTAAAATAGACTGAACTTCTAACCAATTTTCCAATCAGTATTTCTTTTTGCAAAGAGCACATTAATTTTCCCCAAAATGAACTGTAATGGAAGACTGTGGTTTGCCCCCCTTTTATTTTTATTATGTTGGAGTGTTTTGTCAGAACTTCAACAGGTCTTGAAAGATCATGCCCACAGCCAAGTGCAAACAACATTGGGGGAAAAAAAGAAAAAAAACTGTTAAATGTGCATATTTTCCAAGCAAAAAGAAAAATGTAAAAAAATAGGCACCACTGGATGCATCTCTGAAACAGATATCAAGATACCTAAACCAATATATCTCTCCAAAATTGACAATGAATTCATGGATTTTCAGTGGAATACAGATAGCCGCAGATTTTAAATGTAACAGGTATCTTTTCAAAGATTAAACACATTAAGATCAACATATTTAAACATATATCAAGTAAATTTAAATAGATATCATTCAGTTATTTATATCATAAGTTCATAGTCCTAGAAATGTACCATAATTAACATCCAGAAATTTCTTCCATTATTTACTTCATTAATAATAAGTATGACACTTAAATGTCTAATAATGATATGCTTTTCCTATTATTTAGAAGCAGCTAGATAAGATTAAAAATATTCTCTGAAGACTATTTAAATATTACTATAATATAAGAAATGAAACTTTTGTTTAACTAAGTTAAAGCTGAATTTTTTTTCAAAAACTAATCCATTCAATTCAAGGGAAAAAAAATTCAAAGAAATAGTTTAAAAATTTAATAGCAATCAGTTATTTTGAAAAAAGGAATAAATACAAAAAATGTTAATAAAAAAAGCTTATTAATTCACTTTTAAATCTAGAAAGGTTGAAAAAAGAGAAAGAAGGAGGGCAACTATTTTCTTAAATTTTAAAACACTTGATATCATCATATAAGAACCATCAAACATCAATATTTAAAAAGAATACAATACTCAAGAGTCCCCCCCCCGAAGCAAATTATCACATCCTCAATTACTGTCTCAACCCAATAGCATAACTTCCTCCTTGTTCTTTCCTTTTAGAGTGAGTAAAATGCTCCTAATATTTTACTGGAGTATATAAAATAATCTCCACAGCATTAACAATGTAGCTTAAAGATTATATGACACACACGTACCTTATCTCCAGCCAAAATTCTGAAGGAATCAATTATTTGTTCAGCTGTATCAGAATCTGTACTTTCTCTTGTCATGAAGTCCAAGAAAGCATCAAAATGTACATAGCCAGTATTATTAGGATCTACAACACTCATGATCCTACGGAAGTCTGCTTCTCCCTGAAATATACAAGAAAAAAAATTTCACAAAAAAATGACAATAACACAAGTTTATAGTTCTGTATGAAGTCAAGTCACTGATGAAACTCAGTAGTTTTAATATAGAAAATGGGGTACTTGCATTAAAACTTAATTATTTTTACATTAATTTTTGCCCAGTTTTTAATAATACTTAGTTGGTGAAGTTCAAATTTTCAAACTCAAAAAAGCACTTTCTTAAAAATCATGTTACGATATATTCTTGACAGATATAGTAGTACCAAAAATATCTTTATTTGGGATAATTTTATTTTGTAGAAATGCACATAAACAATATTTGTTTTTATATATTGTCTCTGAAGTACGCTTGCACAGTATAGTCACTCTCGTAAAAACATTCTGTAGTTTAAATTAACATTTATTCTTTTGATAATGATTATGTTTTTAGAATTTAAAAATAATTAATGATTCAGTCTACATGCCATTTATAAGATAACGAATTTAAACGTCACATTAAATTCGTTATGTTATGTAACTGTTATATTAAATTCATTATGTATGTAATGTAATTCATAATCAATTATGAATTAAGATGTCAAGAAATTAAAATTTATGAAGAGGATATTTTTCTATTTTTGTATAATTTGCTATTCTAAATATTTTTAAACCATAAACTTTAAATTATGAAGAAATGCTCAATATTATCACAGTTCAAAGCTTTTATTCTAATATAGCAAAAGCATGACTATCTAGCATTCAACTAACTGGAATATTTTAGAAGTATAAGAAAACATTTTTCCTGAAAAACTTAGTAAATGAGAGTTTTATGATGTCATTATAAAGCTCATAATAACTACAGTCAAAAGCCTTTAATCCGGACTCGTCGGGACTTCGGTGATTCCGGGTTATAAGTCATCAATTTAAATCTGGTAAGATGGCACACACACACACACCACAAAAAAAAAAAAAAAAAAAAAAAAAAGCTTAATATTTATTTGTTTACTTTATTAAACATTTCCTTCAACGTGTGCATGCGTAAAGCATACATTACGCATAGTCAAAATTAGAAAATTGAAACCAGAGAACTAACTGATATGTATTCGTGATATTTATAATGACGACGAATTTGATTTAAATCGTATCAAAGACAGAGCACATTGAGATGAAATACTACAATTAGTAAAGAATTATAAGCCGAATAAAATAAAAACATCTGCCCTGAAGATAAGGATAGAGCTGACAGATCAACTTCCAGTTCATTGCGCGCCGCAACGTCCCCCCCTCCCCCGCAGAGCAGAGTGAAATTGATAAACAGATTTCGGAATGGTTAGAGAAACAAAGGAGCTTTTATCCATTTCATGCAGCAATTCCAATTTTTGTTTGATGGACATCGAAACATGCTTTCCCTTTGTAGATCCAGCACTGGAAATTCTATTTGACATAATCGAAAGTTCCAACTTACTTTTATAAAATTACTCTAACAGTCTGCAAAAAATAATAAGCGGGATCCAATTCGAAGATTAAGGGACAACACAATGTGCAACATTGACTGAAATAGATAATTAGATAATTTTAGCTTTGCTTATACCGTCCGTTATACATTAAACGCACGTGCATAAAAGCACATGTGCATGCGTAAATGCATTATGCGTTTGCGCAGAAAGTTTATAGCTTTGAGGTCCGAATTATGGACGTCCAGATTAAAGACTTTTTTAAATATGCATGTTTTTATTAACATGCATATTTTGTCACCAAATAATGTGATTAAATTATACTAATGGATAAGCATGATGTCAGAACACAATATTCATTTAACATGCACACAATTTTGTTAATATTTGTTGTTAATATTTTAAACTGCATGAAGTGGAATATTTTCAATGGCTAATACACACACATATTCTTGGAATTACATAGTCACAGCTGGGTGCAAAACACTTTTGATAAAATTGCATTTATTTACTTAAGCTGGTATAGTATTGCTTTGATTCAAGCTTTGTTTTCTCCAGGGACAAAATTGAAGGAAATCCTGCATACATCACATCCAATTTCAGGATCCTAATTTCAATATTAAATCCTTACAAGAGTAAAACATGAAACTTGTAGAAGTAACAAATTACTCTCAGAAATTACATGACATTTTAAAAAAAGCCAAAGGCAAAAAGTTTCAAATACTGCATTTACTAAATTCAACACTGTTTTGATTATTAACTGAGGCTTCCAATCAATGCAAAAAATATCTCTCAGTATCATCGTCAACAGGAGAAGCTCATTCTTACGTACACCGAAAAAGAGTTAACAATAAGTGATGCTGGTTTTTTTCAAATATGCTCTAATAACTGCAGTAGATGTCTAGAGAAGCTTCTCACAATATAAAAACTTATATACTGACAACAGAAGATCTTTCGTAAAACATAAAGAAGCACTTCAGAGTTTAATGCAACTGTAAAATTCAGGAGAAAAAATTCAAGTGACAAGTAAGCATAATTGCTTGGAATTTGTAATTCATTTATCAATATTTATCAATTGTGTCCTTTTTATATTATTTTTTATTTTTGGAGGCAATTAAAAAAATATTAAGGAGACTTTACGTGAATTTTTAGGTCATCAAAATGCAGGCCGTGCTTATAACAAAACATTTAGTAATGGGAAAAAAAATGCAGTATAATAATTACATACGCTTCAATTTAAAAAAAAAACCATTCAAATCATAAATTATTCTAGAGGATGAACCTTACAGTTCAGAAATTACTGCATTTACTGACAGCCTTATAGTTCAGAAATTGTTGCAATAAGTAACTAAATGGAAACTGCAAAATTTTAAATTCATTCTTAGCACAGGAGGCAATTAACAATTTCTATAAACTTTTATATAAACTAATATTTTCTCTTTAACACGAAGACGCCGGCCTGACCTACCGGTGGGTCATACTTGTCTGTTCCGTGGGATGGCAAATAATTTAATTTTATAATTTTTAAATTTGAAGCCAGCCCCCCCCCCACAAAATGGACCGCTAATTCAAGCAACACAGCACGAAAAGAACAATGAATTATCTGTACCATCGTCAACGCGTTAATATTTACTTCTAAGATCACTGCCTGGAATGAAATCTCTAGAATTTAAGATTAGAGGGAAAAACAGAAAAATGGTGCACTGTTGAATATTATCATTTATATAAGTACGTATAAATGAAATGCAAATACAAAAAATACTTCACCTGTCTGTCATTACGAATATTATATCCTAAACTGACTAGACAAGATTTGAACTCTTCGGGAGCTAGACGGCCTGTTCTGTTTTTATCGAAGTGATTGAATGACATCCTGAATTCATTCAGTTGCTCACCAGTAATGCCTTTAGAATCTCGAGTTAGAATCTGAAATACAATTATTATAGATATAATCAGTTAATTTTGCATTTTCAATAAATTTCACATTAAATCCTTATACAGTTTATAAAATAACTATAGTTCCACTGCTATATTTTATAGCCCTAATTTGTACGAAGGTGGAATACAAGTTATCTACACATTACGATATAAAAAATTTTGACATACTTTTATCTGTTACAAAGATTGCCCTTTTCTAGAAGATTCGAAGATTAGAAATGCGAAATGATATACACTGGATAGAATGTTTACTAAAATTTTCATTACATATGTTTGCTGTCTAAATATCGAAAACTTAGAATTCAGATATTTGAACAGCAGGCATTTTAACCTGCTTTGTGGGCATCTTGAACCCAATAATACAACAAATGGGCTTTGAGGTCTGTTAGTACTTTGTAAAGAAATATTCCTCCCAGAAAAAAATTTATATTACCATCTCATTTATACAAAAATTAAAAAGGGGCCCCTAAGGACTGAAAAGAGAAAATAAAGCTTTGAGGTTTATCACATGCAAAATCATTTAAAGACTTTTCTTCCTAAACAAAACAACATATTACAGCCTATATTTACAAAAAATTAAAAACAAGAAAAAAAATAAAAAATTAAAAAGCCTTATAGGGCCTGTTGATAAGTTGCAAGGAGAGCTCAAAAAGAAGAAGGCCTATGAATTTAATGTGAAATGTTATCTCCCTTGATTTGTACATATATATCACAATGTTTTTTTCTTGGTAGCAGTAACACTCTTAACCACAATTTTGTGGAATTAAGTTACAGCATACTTTTGATTAAGCATACTTTTTTGATAATGCATACTTTTGATTAAGGCCTAAAAGCCTTAATCAAAAGTATTAAGGCCTAAAAGCCTTAATCAAAAGTATGCATGACAGGGGAGAGTCCTGAGGATTTAAGATCACAGCAATGACATATTTTTTTTATAGATTATCTAAAGCATACATATAATTTAAAACCTTCATAAAAATAAATTTTCATTTTCCAGCTGAGTTACACTTCTTTATTAACATCATGCTATTACAGTTACAGCATTATACAAGTTTATGCCTCAGTCTTATATTTATTAAATTTTTTGATAAATAATATTATTCAATTTAAATCACTTTCAAAAGCCCCTTTTTTCAAATATTTTATATAAGTATGTTCAACTGGGTGGCATCATCAAAGTTCCTAAAAACGTAAATTTTATTTGCAAACTTTTTTATTTCTACAATTTTTGGCTCCAAATCTAAGTAATCACACATAGGGACCCATTTCTATAGATAGGCATTAAAAGTATGCTAAAATAAAATAAAAAAAATTACAATTACATTGAGCATGACTCGTTGATGAATTCTTAAAAGTAAAAGACATTGAGCAAATAACAGTGGCTTGCAAAATCTCCAGATATTCATCCAGAACAGAACTATATTAAAAAACAATTGCACAGAGACATCCTTCTCTTACACATGTAAATGCCCTGAAGACCGCATTGTTGTAACTTAATTTCTCAAAATTGTGGTTAAGAGTGTTACTGCTACCAAGAAAAAAACATTGTGATATATATGTACAAATCAAGGAAGATAACATTTCGCATTAAATTCATAGGCCTTCTTTTTCTGAGCTCTCCTTGCAACTTATTTATCACCATTTCTTATGTTTAATATCATGTGCATTGTACTTATTTTTTCCTTTGTATTTATGTGTTATGATGTTGTGTATCATTCCACACACATTCATAAAATTATAATTCACAGTTTCAGAGAAATGCATGATATCGTGCATATCAAGATAATTTTGGATACTTGATATAATATTATACAAATGAATTTACTGTATAAACATAGATCTAGAAATATATACAATAAGCAAGTAAATTACCTGGTTTTCAACTTCATTGATGTTACGGTGGATCGAAGTCAAAAGCTGCTCCCAGCCGACACGAAGAGTCTGAAAAAAAAAAAAAAAAAAAAAAAAAAAAGCATGTTATTATACAACTTCTGCTTTCAAACACAATTAAAACTGGCAATGTATAATGCAGTCAAACCCTGACTTAGCAATTACAGAGGACCTAACAAAAATCGTCTTAAACTGGGATATTGAAGCATTCTTAGCACATCAAAGCATTGCTAAATATTTTTATCCATACTTAAAGATGTTTAAAAAATGTTAAATATTTTTTCATACTTATGAAGTATACAGCCTTTTTATATTTTAATATAGCAAAAGTATTTAAAAAAATTTCCAACAATTCTGCCTAGTTTTATATTTTTAACAGCCGCTGTGTTAGGAAGAGTAGTGACCAAGTTTAAAAAAAAAAAAAAAAAAAAAAAAATCCATGCTAGACATAATCACAAGTGAATTTTTTACATATTTTGGAGTTTTTGGATTCACAGCTGATTTTCATACATGTCTGTACTTTCAAAACTAGGCAACTCCACATCTACAGTATTTGTTAATTTCTTCAAAAGTTCAAAATGAATTTTAATGCTATTTTGGGATGGGGTGGGGAGGATGTAAAAATCTTATTCACATGAAGTGAAAATCTGAACGGCAATTTTGCGTAAGTACGCACATAGAATGTGTTGCTATCTGTACAATTAACACTCCTACCTCATCTATTTCTCTAGAAAGCTTCTTAAAAAAAATTCAAAGAAGTGTTGAAAACAATAAAAATTGAAATTAAATATAATGTGCATGGCTTAATATAGCAATAAATAATGATTTTATAAAATATTATTAAAATGAAATATATCGCTAAGATGGAGATAATTTGACATTCATTTTATACATTTTGAGCAGTGACAATGAAAGCCATTAAATTGAGGGCATCTCTAAACTGCAGTTTGAAATTCAAAACCTTTTCAACAACAGTGAATACTTACTTCCATGGTGTACTGAGTGTATCTATTTTCAAAGATCATGGCTTCTTGTATTTCCTAAGGATAAAAAAGAATCTCTATTGTGATTTTAATGTTTAAAAAAACAACCATAGGAGACAAATACATATCCTTTCAAAAGACCAACATTTTTCTTTCATATCAATTTAATAATAATTCATGCAAATTTAATATAAATGCAAAAACAGTACAACTTCATGTCAAAATATTTTAGGAAATATTAAATTTATAATATTTCTATACATCTCAATATCAAGTGAAAAGACAAACACAGAATGATAATTTTCATGAAGCAAAAAATTATACTCAAGTACTCTATTTGAATATGATTTATAATACTTAAAAAATGACATTTCAATATTCTGAGAAAGAATACATGAAATCTCATAAAATCTAAAACATCTCTTAAATGAATATTAGAAAACATACATAAATCTATCTCTCATCCCATCATAATCAATGTTTAAAAAACTTGATAACAACAAAGAATTACAGTGGAACCTCGAGATAAAAGTTTAAGTCATTCCAGCATTCAACTGGTATAGTTAATTTCTCAAATCTAGAAACAAACTTCCCCATTGAAACTAGTAGAAATACAGTTAATCCATTTCACACCCCCAAAAATATCAACATAAAAATAAATTTTTCTAATAAGTAACACTGGTAAATAATATAACCATAGTTTACCTTTATGATAGCTTTTGACACCGACCTTTTAACAGCTTCTCGTTAATCCACACCAACAACAGTTTCTAGGAGTTTTGGACGGTGCTTGGAAGTAACAGTAATTCTCTTGGCTGCACCAAGTTCCTTAATTTCTTCCTTCTTCAAAATAGTGCAGATCGTCAATGTCGAAAGGCCATAAGTCTTCACCAATTCCATCACTCTTACACATCTATGATTTCTTTCTTAATTTCAACAACCATGGCTTTCCTATTTTTCTTTGCAGCACTATCTGAGGCAATAATCTTCTTGGGAGGCATGGTGAAATAATTATTTTCAGGTTAAATGTAATAAACAATTAACTCACAAGCGCACAACATGTAGATCAAAGAACACTGAGTCACCTGACGAGGGGATTCCCCGAGTCGAGCCGTATCTAGAAATGGCGCCATGCATACAAACAGCCTGGCTCACTGCTTGTTACTCAAGTCAATGCTCGTATTTAGAGACAAATTTTTTGCTCATTCTTTCCTGGTATCTCGAATTTCTCGTACATAGAGGTGCTTGTATCTCGAGGTTCCACTATATCTTAAATGCTTATGAAGAGAAAAGAAAGTTTCATTTTTTCTTAATGTTAATCAAGAGTTTGTGATAGCAGCAATACTCTAAGGCAATGGTTCTCAATTTTTTTAGCCCATACACCTCTTTCCCCATTGATTATTCCCCTTCTTTCTAAAACTTGAAAAATATTGGGTCAGTCCATAAATTCAAACACATATTTTGGTAAATTTTTAAATAATATAAAAAAACACAATTTAACATTTTAATCAATTATATATTTTCCTCCATTATCTACAATGTCACGCCATCTTACAGGCAACTTTTTTATGCCATTGCTGTAGAAAGACTCTGGTTTTGATGAAAAAAAAAAAAAACTTGAAAGTTCATTGTGTACATCCTGTTTAGAATTTTTTCCCAGTAAAAAATTTTGTAAGGTTTGTTTGTTTGTTCACTAATTTTTTGCAATGTTGTTCGAGCGTATGTGGTCTAGAGTTATCATGATGAAACAACACTTTCTTGATATTCACCAATCATGGGCATTTTTTGATCAAGCCTGAGTTTAGATGGCAAAGTTGTTCACTATAAACTTCTAAATTAATCGTTTGATTTGGTTCTAACAGTTCAAAATGTACTGAACGGGGTTCATCATCAATGCTGCTTTTTCCAACTTAAAATTTCTGGGCAGTCCTTACACTAATAGTGTGTTTACCATGTACACTATTAATTTTAATCACTGCAAACCTGGCAGATTCACCACACGAAAATAAAAAATGTAGCACAGTACATTTGTACTGGTTATCTATATTCATCTTCTATGGGTACTAAAATACATTCGATATTTATGAAAGTTGGTGATGAACTGAATAATATGTTAGTCAAACAAGTTTCAACAGGTTCAAAATTGTATTGTTTTAGTAAATGCGTCATAGCGAATTCCACGCATACTCTTAATGTGCATGAACTAATAATGTATATGTGTATATGTGTCGGGTAATAATAATATAATTAATGTATATGTGTCGGGTCAATGACCCGACACATATACATTAATTTAAATTGGAGATTATTTTTAATGTGTTTTATATAGTAAACAACAAAAAATATAGAAAATATTGATGAATGCTAAGACTTTAATAAAAGAAGTTTAACAGATTAATAAAAGGCAGACTGTGGGAGTACTTCATCCACAGTTGAGAACCACTGCTAAAAGTAAAGAAATAATGCATTCAAATTTTAAGCCTAATAAGAATTCAAACATGCAATTTCAGCTTCAAGATCTTATTAGAATATCATAGTGTTATGTGCATATGGATTTGTAATGGATTGAATGCTCACAGAACAGATGTGAAATTTATTAAAAAAAATAAATAAATTTGCAGTTCTGGAACTCCTCACACAAAAGTATTCATACAGCTCTTCTTAATACACAATCAGTAGTTACTACTTCAAAGTACTGGAAATGTTAAAAACAAGGAAATCGAATGGCAATCTTTCAATACTCTGAACTGAACAGTCTGAATTAAACTGTAAGCTGAAGCTCTCTCCTGTCTTATATAGTTTCCCCTCATCTGGTGAGAAATTTCCAGTACCTTTGATTTCTCAAAACTGCCAGAAGGCATACACAGTTACACAGAGAACAAATTCAACGTCACCAAGCTTGGCGACTTTTGGCGATTTCTCAACAAATCTGGCTACAAAAAAACAATCACCATAACCGCTGCCAGCTTGGCGTTATCTCAGCAATTTGGCGAGATAGCCGCTGCCTCAATGGTAAATGGACTTATGCCTGTAACCTTATTTTTTGGCAATTCTTTGCACCGAGCCTTTCATTCTACATTTTATATGCGACTACAATTTACATACAATTCGATTAATTTTATTTACATGTGTACAAAATTCATAACAATGTATTTCTTGCAGCTAGAACAATAGGTAATTAATACTGGTGAAAAGGAAATCACATTGCAGCAGTGTGCATGCAAAATCTTACCTTTTAACAGAGAAACAAATTTTTTTTAAAAAAAAATCAATTCGGGATTCAACCAATAGTTCTTCTTCTTTAAAAATTACAGTGGTGTTTGAAATGATTACAATAAAAATCATGAAACATTATGAAAATAACAATGATGTTAGGAATGATATAGATGATGATGATGCAAAATGATAGAAACTTAAAGTACAAAATTGAAACCTTTGATACTGTCCATGAATAGAAACTACATCAACCTTTTTGACCTTGCTGGTGGCATTTGCCACATTCATATGCAAAGGTCTATTTTATCAGTAGTAGAAACTGCTTTACTATTCACTACCAGATGTCTCATCTGGTGGCTTGTCTACATGATTTTTTACACTTGTTTTCCTTGAAATCTAATAGTGGCAACTGCCATGACATCCTATTACCTACAACTAGAGTAGGAACTTGTTAATATGTTTCAATGGTATTTTCAACATCTACAAACAATATTTTGAGATGTTTATTTATTTATTGTGCATCTAAAAAAATCCAGAGTTAAAAGGGTTAATCACTACTAAATTAAACTCTTTTTATTAACCATATTCAATAACAAAAAATTTCATTCCACATTTTAAAGCAGAATAGAATTTTAAACTTGCCTGATGGCACTTTTCAAGTTCATCCATGTGAGGTCTGTATTGAACAACTCCTGTTTCAAATTGCCTGAGTTTATTAAGTTGGTCCTCCAGACTGCCTTGCATTCCCATACCAATAGCTGCCACGGAATCCATCTGTCTCTCGATCCAGGGGCCAACGGCATTAGCTTTGTCGGCAAACTTGCGACGTAACCTTTCGTTAGCTGTTTAAGCATTCGATTAAGGATAAACACATTCAGCAATGGGGGATTTCCTACAAAGGCCACTTTGGTGAGGTCACATCTATTTACATTTGATATATTATAGTAAGAAGTATTTGAGTTTAATATTTCTTTGGTGGTTTTAATATTTTGTTTAGTAATAAATATTTTAGACATCTGTAACAGAGAAGCAAAGAAAATGCACCATACGCAAAAACAAATATTGAGAATCAATGTGGTAAACACAGCATTGGACTTCATATAGATTACTTTGTACAATGGTATAAAAATAATTTGTAATTTATATCACAGATAATATAAAAAATACCCCCCCCCCAAATAAACTACTAGCAGTTTTTTGGGGGTAATACAGTAAAAATATCCCAGTCATTTCTTTTTGATGTAAAGGAACCTATTTTCAAGGCAAAATTTGATTTAAAAAGGATGCATGGCAAAGTAACAAGCTCAATAAAATATAGTATTCTTAGAAATAGATGGTCTATTGCCAATGAATTCCGAGATTGGCAAATTCAACTAGAATTTGTTCCATACATCATATTTTACCATTACCTCTTTTAACAGTCATCATTTCTCTCTGATCAAATTCAAGCAGTTCTAGCACATCTCTAGATTATAGCACTCCTATTTCCCATGTGTAGATAACCTGTAACATGTAATATAACACTAATAACATCAATCTATGTCATATTTGCACAAGCAGTGTCCTAACTGGATGTTACATTACAATAACCAATAGCAGTTGGTTACCTATAGCAAAAACATCTAAATTATTTTATAATCTGTATTACAAAATTCCGATACACGAAAAAAAGTCACATTTTATTATTCATATAAGCTATTACTTTCTTACTTTAGTATATAAAAAATATGTACTGTACAGAGACTCAATGCTTTTAATATGTTATGACAAACTTTAAAAAATATTCTGAACATAATTTTAATAATTAGTTTTAGTTAATACATATGCCTACAGTTTGTTCTTTTAGAACAGACACTTCAAGGCCATCTACCTCAAACACCATGCCTCATAAGCACAATAATATTGCTGCAGAAAAAAGGTCAGACTTTCTAAAATGCTAAAATCTTCTAACTCCTTTCTTCCGATAAAACAAGAGTTCAGTCCAGAGTTAACACTTATACTTTGCATGACACACTTATTTTAATTATTTTACATTTGTTATTAATTCATTTAAAATTAGAATCCCATACTGATTACATCACATTTTATATTACCTTGATATGTCAGCAAATAATAATAAAGAAGAAATTTATATGAGTGATTTAGTATTACCTTGATAAAATTAAAAATCTGACATTCTAAAATTTTCTTGCATTCCTCTTAATATTTAAAATGCTTCAATACTTGTTTTATATACAGCTCTGCATACATGCACATTAATATTATACATATCATTCTCTTGGGTTCCCAACCCTATGCCCGCGGGCACCATGGCGTCCGCCGTTGTGCAATCACATTAAAAATGTTTTAGTTTTCAGTAAAATTCTATATGAAAGTTTTCTTATTTTCAATAAAAAAGAAGTTGCTTGAAATGCGACCGATCTCTTTTTTTTTTTATGTGCATGTATTTATTAACTTTATCCAACTAAAAATTCACCATGAAAAAGTAAATGGTGTCCGTTGTCCAACAGATATTCTAAAATGTGCTTTTATGAACAAAAAGGTTGGGGACCACTGCTCTGTCAATATAAAATAAGTAGTGGTTAATCCGATTAAAAAAACTTCAGTTTAACACACTGGGTCACCCAGAAAGTTTTCTGGTCTTAGAAATTTAAAAGCAGAACTTTCAATCCCAAAGATCATACCCATTTTGAGTAACCATCCTCTCTAAACGAGAAAATACTAAAAGAAGATAAAGCTGAAAATACATATTATACAGTTTAGTAACTATAAGATGAACTAAATATTTCAAAAAGTATAATACATGATCATTTGAAGAAAACTGGGCACATAAGCTATTACAATGCATGAGTACCCAATATTTTAACAGAGCAGAATATGTTTACTTGAGTTTCAGCATGCGATTCTTTACTAAAAAGAAATAAAAGTGTTTTTTTAATTGCTCATTATTGAAGATGAGAAGTAGATACTATAAATAATGTAACAAAAAAAATATCATGGATCAAGCCACAGGGACCTTTATTAGTATCATCAAGAAAGAAGTGTATGCCAAAAAAGTAATGCTTTGTGTAGGGTGGGAGGCCAAAGGACTTATATAATGTGAACTGTTGCCACCAAATGAGACAGCAAAATATTGTTTTCACATGACACATTTAAAAATACAAACTGGCAAGTACTGATTAGTCATCAAGATGTTTTCAATCATGACAATGGTTGGCCCCACATTTCAGTGAATGTCAGACAAAAACATAGTAAGTACAGCTGGGAGTTTTGTGTTGTGCCCAGTGTTCATGACACTGCTCCCTCAAATTTTCATTTCTTTTAGATTACTTGAAATTTCTCTGAATGGCATTTTCTAGCTGATACAGAGGGCAAAATGTTGCTTATATGACTCAATGATATTTCTTAATGTTTTTGTACTGCTTCATTAGTATTTATCATAACAAAATGCATAACTTTCTGGATGACCCAATACTTTGTTTACAACAAAAGCTCATGTGATATAAAAGTATGTGTGACAGGGAAAAAATTATGCTGTTGTATTCTTTTGTGGTTTAAGAATTAAATGAACCATATTTTTATATTAATTAGATCTAAGATATTTCTATAGTATTTGTAACATATTTTGAAACAATAATACATTAAGGAAATTTGTTTTCACAAAACAGATTCTTGATTTAAAAAGAGAAAAGGATACATTGCTGGCGCATAAGCTCAGTTTGTAATACTTGATCCCTCTTGGGAATCATTTGCTTTACATCACTCCACTTTGTAGTTATATCCTAATAAAATGAAATAGCGTTCCAGATAAGAGAATAAAAATTTCAAATTATTATAAAGACAATTTAATTATCTTTTTAATAGTTTCTTCTAATATTAAAATTTAAAGAAGGAAATTCTATTTCAAAAGAAATGCAACTAGGAAAAAAAACAATATTAAAATGGAAATAATATGAAACATCAAATCTTTTAGAAGCATACAAAATTTTAAAATTTAATTTATTCTGAAATTTCTTTCAATTAACTTTTAAATTTATCAAGCACCTGAATAATGCCCAACAATACATAACATATTAAAATTTATCTGTTATCTGCAGAAACGTTACAAGTTAATGGTAGAATAAGAGAAATATAATTACAATAGCTGTTAATGTAGTATAAGGGTTTTCGATTCCTCCAGGTATCTGGCACTGGGTTGCTATTGTCTGTACTTCTTGAGACAATGCAATGATAGATTTATGTTCTTTGTCTGCTTCTCCAAGGGTCTGTTTGAACTGCTCATGGGCATCTATTAATCCCTATAAGAATATGAAAGAATTTTGTATGTTAATAAAATATTTCACATAAATGATTCTTACAAAATTAAATATATTACAAAAGTGTTACCAATTACAATAATTCTTATTATAATATTTTTACAAAATTAAATAAATTGGCTTATCTTGTCTAGTTATCATATGCATAAAAAATAAACAATTTTTGGAATCCTAAGAAACTACTATTTCAAATATTAAATGGCAACTTTTTAATATAGGCACATACAACAATTACAGATAATACAATGTATTTTAATGTAAGCAGATACACCTTTAGAAACAATGGATACATCAAAAAGAGACATAGAAGAACATTACAATTCTATGAACATGTAAATTGACGGAAAAAATAATTTTGTAATTAGCATTTTCAAATAAAGAATCATCATATCATTGTTTAACAAAGAGTAAGCAATACAGAGTCAATATTTAACTCACTTGGATCTCCTCCATTGTGTGAACAATGAACATGTCAACCAAGTCCTCTCTTGCTCCATCTAACCAATTATTGAAGGGCTAGAAAAAAAATTAAATTTATTATATAAAGTAGTTAAAACACGCATTTTTCAAATTCTTGCAAATCAAATGAACATGCAATATGGCAAACAAGTCTCAACATTCACTCACTGCAGCTCTCTTTGCGAATTCCAGATGTAAAGTATCAATCTTTTCGAGCACTCGTTCTGCTTCCTACAACACAGAGAAAATTTAGTCATTTTCTACGACTAATTTTTTACACAATAATAAAACAGAAGTCTAAGAAGATAAAACAGTTTTTTTTATTCTCAATTAACATTCAATAACACTGCAATAACATTCAATAATCTTTTGGGAAATTTTCACACTGTGCAGCAAGGCGATTTCTAAAGAACCCCAAACTGACTTTAATGTGTATGATTCAAGTTTTTGTACTATTTGTACATGATTCGGATGTAAAACATATTAGTATCTAATTAGATATTAAAAAGTTTATCCTCTTTGCCTAATTTCATTCTTAATTTTCTTACACTTTTATACTGAATAAATTGAGCAGGGAAGAAAAGCTTTTAGTTATCAAAGTACTTTCAAAAATGATGAAAATAAAGTTAATAATTAATTAAAATAATATTTATGTGGATAAATTTAGTAATACACCACATATTAATGTAAAATAAAATTAAGTGCAGATAAGAAATGATTAAATATTGCTTTATTCTTCATCTAAAAATCTACAAATATCCACAGTAATTTAAGAGATCAAATGAAATCTGATGAGAAAAATTAATAAAATGTAATGAGGAAAAAAATGCAATTAAAATGAAATAAAATTTAACCAAAAAAATATTCTGAATATCACTAGTGGTGCGGGAATGGAATTTCTACAATTTACGTTTCATCAATTCAATAAATTTCAACATTTTCCTCAGTAAAGGTAAAAATTAAAAACTGGCAGATTCAGTGATCTATCAGGAGAGGTAATGAAACACCAAGGGTCTCATGCGAAAACTGAAAGAGTTAGCAGCTATGCCATATCATAATAACTGATTATTGAAATCAAAATTGCAAGTGTTCTATTTCTATAGCTACTCAGACAATGATGAGTCAAATATATAATTTAATGATAAAATGCGATATAAATAACATTTTAATGCATGAAAAAATTTCTGTTAATTACAGTAATGTAAACATACATACTTCAAGAGCACTTCTCCGTTTCTGTGTCAGAGTTCCGAGTCTGTCCCACTGATCACAAATCCTCTGACATCTTGCATTGACTGAAGCAGCATCGTGGTAATCTAAGGCACTAAGGAATGAAAATATTAATTAACATACAGCACTCCATATCATACAGCATTAAAATTTTCTTTTTTAACTATATTAATTAGCTCTTGAGGGATGAAGGATTCTTTATCTTGTATATATGTAAATAATTTTCATGAAGTTATATATAAATTGTAGTATCTCTAGTATAATGTGACATGAAAGGCCACAGGATACGAAGCATCATGAGAAAAGTAACATTATAGGTGTACAAAAAAATGAGTTTATAAAGGTAAAATAAGGTTACGAAATAAGGTAAAAAGGCTTATAAAAATAAGGTTATATGTATAAATTTTGGCGACTAATATTAATTGCCGAATTCGGCGACAAATCGCTAGAACTCACCAAAATTGGTGACCATTTGTTCGATCTCTGCGTAACTGTATCTGGCCCTATGCAACTATAACTGTGTAGGCCTAATTTCTCTGGAAATGGGGGAAAACTGTAAAAGACCACAGAGAGCACCAATTCTCAGTTTAGCTCAGAATACTGAGAGATCACAGAGTGAGTTTACACAATTGAGGCTTTTTATATTGCTTTGTGTTCAACATTCTTAGTATTTTGAAGTGGTATTTACTGATTGCGCTCTGTCATATCAAACTAAAAGTGATCTGTCATAGTACTTTTGTGTGAAGTTCCAGAATTGCAAAATGTTTTTGGAGAAATAAATTTCATCAAGCTATTATTCATTCTGTGTGCATTCAATTCATTATAAATCCATATGCCTGTAACAGTATTAATGGCACATGCAGTAATTATACTATAGGCAAAGCATTCGAGGGGTAGCTGCCTAGGATAACAGATGCCTTCATGGAGGATTTTCTAAGAGAAACTGAGTTGCATTCATGTTACACTTGGAGAAAAGCAGGAAAACCAACCATGCAGCCCACCTGTTTACCTGAATTAGAATCCAGGATGAACTACCAGCATTTAACCGCTTGGCCACTGGTGGGGCAAGATAAGCTAGAGTCAACCATTGATTTATCAATCATACACTTTTGTATGGTACTGTGTAATCAGTCTTATTAATTTGAAAAGAATCCTTCATCCTTCAAGAGCTAGTTAAATTAGAAAAGTTCTGTTGACAGCAGCTAAACGATGTTTTAATAAAAAGTTAGTTGTAAAATACACTCTATAACAAAAAAAAAAAAAAAAAAAAAAAAAAAAAAAAAAAAAAAAAAAAAAAAAAAAAAAAAAAAAATTGACGCACCAAGAAGAAGTTGTCCAACAGACAAAAATTGTTGAGTAGGAAGATTATGTACAGAATATAAAATGATTAAAATTTCAGAAAAATGATTCATTTCAGTTACATAGCTACAAAGTAATGAGCTCAATAAGGTGTTGACCTACCTCTAGCCTGGATACAAGCTGCCACAAGGCGTGGCATAAACTGATACAACTTTCAGATGGTCTCCTAAGGTATTTCTTGCCAAATTTGCTGCAACTGTTGGGCTAGGTCATCAACCTTCCCATCATATCCCAGACATGCTCAATGGGAGAGAGATCTGGCTGGCCAAGGAAGTGTTTGACAAGCTGTAAGACAGTTCATAGCAACACGTACCATATGTGGTCTGGCATTATCTTGCTGAAAAACAATGCCAGGAATGGTAAGCAAAAGGAATGGTAGCAAAATAGGTCTCGGAATTTCATCGACGTATCACTGTGCTGTAAGTATGTGCCCCTAATGACGACCAAAGGGGTCCGGCTATCAAGGAAAATGGACCCCAGACCATAACTCCCGGTTGAGGGCATGTGTGGTGTACAATAGTGAAAGCAAGATCGGCATGCTACTCTGGGTGTCTCCAGACACGTCCTCGACGGTCGCCACGACACAGTTGGAAAGGGGATTTCTCGCTAAAGACTATACGTCCCCAGTCAGTATCATTCCAACTCGGTCGAGCCAAGCAACACTGTAATCTGGCTCAACAGTGTGCAGGCATGAGTGGCAGGTGGCGTAACAGTCAGTACGAGCATAGATTTTGCTCTATCAGCCATCTGTGAATTGTCACGGTGGATACTCGTGTGCAGGTTGCACATCTGATGGCTGATAGTGATGAATCAGGTGCTGTGACAGCTGATCTGACATTCACTCTGTCCTCCTGATCTGTTGTGTCCCTAGGTCGACTGCTATCATCAAGATGTTGAAATCTGTCATTATCCACCCAGTCTTCCCAGCAGCTTCTAACTGTCACATCGCTTTGACTCATATAACGAGCAATTCTCCAATTTGCCGAACTTGCCTCTTTCAGTCCAATGATATGACTTCTTTCAAACTCTGACAGTTGCTCATAATGAGCTTGAATCCTGCAGTGAGGCATTTTCAGTCCTTCAAAGGTATCCGAAATCACAATGCAAGAGAAATTTTAACAACACTTCAAGAAGAGCTCCTTATGTACATCTGCTGGATGTGCAGTTTCGATGCGCTGGAGATCACACTATTCATATTCATTGGACACCAAATTTTAATCATTTGCATAAGCTGGTCAAAACATTTACACGTACGATATTTCAAAGCAATCAGATGATTTCCTTTTTAGTGGGTCGATTTTTTTGTTATAGCATGTAATTAATATTAAATGGAAAATGTAATAAATGATAATTACCAAAAATAAATAAAAAAAAAGTAAAAATGAACAGTAAAAGCAATGACATACTTAAGCTCCTGAGCAATCGCAGCAATTTGTTCTACACGATCTTGATGTGCAGCCAAATCACTTTCAAAAGCTTCATGCTTCTTTTTCAAAGCCTGATTAAACAAAGAATACACATTAATGAATCATTTATCAAATGTATTAGGCAAGTCATAATAGCAAAATGTTAATAAAAATCTTAAGACATTTACTGAACTTTTATACCAAACTATATTTCAATCAAATTTTGCGGCTTTTCCACAAATATTTTCAAAGCCTTATTCAAAACCCATATTGTATATGCACTTTACACCAGAATTTTAATATTCCACATTGAAGTCTTGTATATCAGAAATAAATTTACCTTCAATTCATTCAATTTACAATTCCTGAAGTCTTGGCTTTGAAGCATTTCTTCTTTCCCATGAGTCCAGTCTTCATGAATGTCAGCTTTGTGTTTAAATTTCTGAGCTAAATGGTCCAGACGCTCTAATCTGAAAATTAAATGCATTTTTGTAACGATGATACATATTGAAAATTTCAAAACTGCCTCCAAAAATAAAATATAAAAAAAATTTTGTTCATTTTAACTGAAGGGGAAAATCATTTATTGTAGTTACAAATATAAGGGCTAGTGGAAAATTCTGTCCGACAATGTTATTTCAAGTTTCAACATGCATGCAGGTATTCATATGAGACAAATATGGCTGTCTCTCTTTATCACTGCATTTATAAACACCTCCTCTTCTAAATGAACTGAAGCAAAGTGTCTCATGTCATTATTAAGAGAGACATGATCATATACACATAGCTACCAATGATGTTAATTTATTACACTATATTTTGTATGCATTCCAACAAGAAAGAAACACTATAGAAGCATATCAAAATTTAGTATAATTTTTTTACAGAGATGCAATTTCCGATAGAAATGAGGAGATAGTTGGGGAGATTCAAAGCAGGTGATTTTGACTTTTAATGATAAACTATGCTCTGTGCGATCATCATCTTTGATTGATGTCAAGATCCATTTTTTTTTTGACGACATTAGAGATTGAGGAAAACCTTAACCATCTGAACAAACTGATTTAGATCATATTCGGAAACTAGGATCGGTCTATAAATATTCCAGATGAATGCCTCGCAAGTAAGCGAGAAACCTTGCATAATCAAGTCGTCATATGGCCTTTTCTGCTACCTTGGAACAAAAACAAACCCTTTTTGGACTGCATGATAACTGAGGATAGAAAGTAGATTATCTACGAAAATGACATTAGGAAAAGAGCACACTATGAGCACTGACAACCTGCCCCTTCACGTCTAGGCGAATTTTAGTCAGAATAAAAAAACACGGTGTATATGGTGGGATGTCCAAGGATGAATACATTACAAGATTTTCAACCGTAAAGAAAAGCTCAATTCGAAGAACATAAAGCAGCCAAAGAAAAGCGACCAGCGATGTTCACTAGGAAGTACATCGTACTGTATCATGATAATGCCAGACCATATGCTGCTTTGGTAACTCATCAGAAAGCTGCAGAACTAGGCTGGAAATTCTGGCACATCCACCTTACTCCCCAACTACCCTGCTTAGTAATCATAATAAAAGTTTTTTAGAATTGTGAAAATATCTGTAATAGATGACTTCAGGAAAGGTTTCTCTATTTTTATATTTATCAAAATTTAATCAATATATTAGATTTTACTTACATTTTAGCTGTGTTATTTGCTTTTCATTTCGGATAAATTTCAAATACAGATACTGTTATTCCCCCAAGTTGTATTTTTTATTATTTAGAATGGTTTTATCTGATTACAGCAAAGCCTTGAGGGGGTATCTGCCTAAAGGGAGGGATGCCATCGTGGAGGACTTTCTAAGGGAAACTGGCTCACATACACGTTACACAAGAGGAGAACCACGAATATGCGCATGCAGCCAGCTTATTCGTGGGATTCAAATCTCAGACCAAACTACCAGTGTTCAGCGACATTGCCATTCGGCTGCTGGTATTTAGAAAATGTGTGAAATAAAATAAAGGATGTGGGAAAAAACTAATACGGAAATATTAATTTCCAAATGTTAAACTTCAAATGCAAAGCAGAAACTATTTAAAACCTCAGTTTTAAAAGATTACTAATAGTACTTAGCGTCACTCAAAATTATAGTATATTCAAAATAACTGGATGATTTGAGATGAGGATAATCTGATACTTATTAATAGCATACCGATTTTCATTTCATTCTTACTTTTTAACTAAAATGTTGTTCAATGTCTTATTTTTTTATTAACAATTTGAACACATGTTGGATGAGTTAAATTTGTATTTAATAGGCTTCATAGGTAACTGGACCTTTCACAATGTGACATTTTCTTTCAGGAGCACGTTAATAACATTTTTTAATGTTATTAATGTTTTACACTGAATGGCTTTTGCCCACACCTCAACATGATGTCAAAAAGTTGTACAGAAAAGTGCAAAGCATATGTTGCAATAAATACACTTATTATCTTGATAATGTTCCCAACTAAAGCAAGCTTCATAAAAACTAGAACGTAAAAATGGACACTTTTCACTTTGATTTTTGTATTACTTGGTGTATGTAAATTTTAACAATAAAACTGTCTGAGAAATTACACCAATCATTTAAATAACTCTACACATTATAAAATTTTAATTTTACCAAAAGTGTAAGAATAATCTTACTGCAAATTTAAAATTATAGCCATAAAACTTTACTATGCAAAATGTAACAAGTGCATAATGTTTCTATTTCAGAGGAATAATCTATTTTAAAGAAATATTAATATAAATAGAGAAAATATTGCAATTAAGTTAAAGAACATTTTAAAATAAACAACAAAAAATCTTTCTTTGTTTTTTCCCCTTTTTCTTTTTTCAAATTTTACACTACATACCTCATCATTTCTGACAACAACCATTCTTCAAAACCTTTTTCTGCCATTTCCAGTCCCTTCCATGCATTGGCGATATCCTGCATGATGTTAAAAATGTTAAATAAAATTACTGAGCAAAGCAAATGGACAATCAATAATATACAATTGTATGATTCAAATCTAGCAGTTTCCATGTATAAATTAAAATATATTTACTATACAAGTTTAATTATTATTTTATAAACCTCTGATAGTTCAAAAAAAAGAGGGGAACAAATATGTATATTTAAATCATTATGTAAAGTAAATTTAGGAAAAAGAACAAGAAATGAAATAAAAATTGCTAAAAATAATTACAATATTCAAACATTTTGCAAAACACATATTTTTTCTTATCTATGGCAACATTTAAGGTAAGGAAAAAAGAGTGGGTTTTTATATAAACTGTTTATATAGACTGTTTAGTCTTAACACTAAGCTGCATACATCTAGCTAGTACTTCTGAACTAGTATTTTTCCATATATGTAAGTTAAGTGTTCAGAAAAAAAAGGGAGGAGGGTTCAGATACCGCACAGATATAGATTTTATTTCTCAGGACTGCATGGAAGAATAGACACTCTAAAAACAACAGAATATTTTCCCTATACCCACAGCAACAGATTCCTAAGATGTAACAGCATACATATGAAACCACAGACAATAGCAAATGCTGTATTAAACATAATAATCATGCGATATGTACTCAATCTCATTTATGAAGTGTTATCAGTAAAACATTTAACAAAACAATAATACAGGATGGTTATAATTAAAGTTCCACTTTGAAAAGGTTATAAAAGAAAAACTACTGGGCCAGATGTTATCAAACTCGGTAATTGTGTAAAGGAGGTGATGAGAATTTATTTTAAGTGAATTAAAAAAAAAAAAAGTTTCCAAAAGTCACAACCAGGGGGGAAATGGCACTGTATGCAATATTGTTAAATGAAATAAGGGTCAGAATGTTTTGTGATACCTGACATGCAGACACATGGCATTTTAGACAACACAATTTTTATGCAGGATGGGGCTCCGCCGCACATTAGTACACGTGTCACACAGTTATTTAGGCAGCATTTCACTAATGATTGGATTATAGACTGATGCTTCCCTACTTTTTGGCCACCCCTGTGACTTTTGACTATGGGGTTATCACAAAAGCAATGTTTATGGTGATAATCTAAACAATTTGGTGGAATTGAAAGATGCAATAGACCAATAGGTCCGTAACATTCCTCCTAATATGCTAACAGCTGCTGTTGTGGAATGCAGTACTACGATTTGACTTGCTTTCAGAGTTTCATTTAACAATACTGCATACAGTGCAATTTTCCCTAGTGGTGAATTTTTGTACTCCCCCCCCCCACACACAGAAAATAAATTCTCATGACTTCCTTTACATGATTAAGTTTGATAGCATTTGGTCCTGTAGTTTTCCTTTTATGATCATTTCAAAGTGGAACTTTAATTATAACCACCCTGTATATACTGTATACTACAATACATGCAAATAATTCACAGCGTATGGAGCATCTTTTTTATACTGTGGAACATTCATTATCCCTTTACTTTCCCATATTGTGGATTCGTATTAAAAAAAAATGAGATTCCAACACTTAAACTTACCCTCAAAAGATAACACAGTAATATATATATAAAAGCTGTATCTCTTCTGTATAATCCAGTGTTTCAAAGCTTAATAGAAATAAAAATTTTGTTTCAAATATATTAAGATACAGAAATGAAGAAAAGATGTATCGAAGACTATTTGACTACCCCAGCCATCATTATTCACATTATCTAATGAGATTGCTCACCTAAGAGGTGACCTATTAACCTGAGAACAATCATAGAATTTTGAAATCCATTTCGATTTCTCATTTGATTACATTGTTCCTGAATATGCATGTACATTACTCTCATAACTGCTTTGAAAAGACAGCAATGAGAGCATTTGAGTCACTAAATTTCACTACATTATGTTGCCTTAACACGTATTCCGAAACTTAAGTAGCAAAGTTTCCCTTCCAGCTTCTTTATCTGCTCTCCATGATGGCCAATTGGTGGCACGTGGCCTGCAGGCAGCTCATGGGGGTTTTTTCAATGGTCAGAAACTACATTAACAAATACTTCACTACTTACTAAATTTCTGAATTTGTGTGTATTTTCATATTTTTAATTATCCCACGATTACCTTCATACAAAAATTACTTGAGATTAATTCTACAAGAATCTTAAAATAACAGGTGTTTAGCCAGGGCATGTTCCTAAACACCTGCTAAACATAACATATAGTGAAGCTTTTGGTCCCAAGATGGTTAAACTGGTCCTGAAGAGTACAGAAGCTAACCACCACAACCAATTATAATAACAGATAACTGAGGCTGTAGACAACAAGTTAGTGGATACAGGCCACCACTGAGATAAGCAGTACGAACAAAAGCAACTAAATATGATGAAAGCTTGTTAAATATTAACAATAATAAAGTACTTACAGAAACCATTTTGCCTTCAGATGGCAAATAAGCTGGTCTGTTGCTAAGACGAAGTTTTGTCTGTAGTGTGTTGAAGTTGGTTTCTAACCTAGCCTTTTGCTCCACACGTGGGGGCTTGTGTACTCTACGGTAATTTCTGAACTCATCTAATTTCTTATGTACACCAACAAGAGTGTTATCTGTCGTTCTGTTTTCCAGCCATGGAGTTGTCCTACGGATCCACTCCAACAGCTACATATTTTAATAAGAAAAGACACAATTATTAATTTGATTACAGAATCTGTGTTATTTTTCAAATAAGCACATTCAGAAAAATTTTTAATAGAAAACAAGCAAAACTGATAGCATTAAATTATTGGTGAAAATGTTTAGCCCACTGGTCAGCGCGATTTCAAAAGTCTCCAAGTTTGGGGTATTTTCTGCATTGTCTCTTTTAAGTATAAGTCTCCAAGGGACAGTGCATTACACAAGCACATAAGAAATATAAACAATAAAAACTACAAATTTTTGACTTATTCTAATCTTTTCCAATTCGTGTGTAGATCTTGACAATATCCTTTAAAAAAGCACGAACACGTCATCATTTAACGAATGACAATGCAATTTTCCCCACATAAATTCAGATAAATATGAGTCAAACATGTCCTTCACATGATTTGTGAGACTCCCGAGAGCTCGTTTGACTACTCATCAAATACCCTCGATGGTATTCGTATGCGCACCTGCGTCGGGATCTTTGACCGTCAGACCGTTCAAACTCAAAGCCATCTCGGGTAATGGAAATTATATCATAAAAATGCAGAGAACAGAAATCACACAACTTGCATTAGAAGAGCATGGCAAAATGGCAAAATCCATTAAAAGCAACGGGCTCTGAGGCTAATCTTTGACATCACTAGCCTTCCTTAATTGGTCAACCTATCAGTGACGTAACGTGTATGCCTGATGTCTCGGGTGACATCATTATCAAAAATCTCTTCCTGGCTCCACTTCGAGAAAGATTGCCAATCTTGGTGCAGTTGTCACCTCTTTGCATAATAAGTGAGCTTAACAGCATTCCAACCAAATTATTTATTTCATAATTGTTATTTGAAATAACTTGTGAATTCATTACTTGAAATAAATAATGAACAAAATCACACGACATAATAGTTTAAAATTAATATGTATGATCAAAAGGTACTGTTACTTACATCACTAGCTAATCGCTCATATTCTTCCATTAACCTCTCATTCTCCTGGTTAACTTTCAATACTTTACAGATACGATTAGCAGCAGTTTCTGCCTGTAAGAACAGAATAAGAATGTATAAATTTTGAGTATTATTTTTGCACCCAATAATGACATTATTATACGAATATATAATTTCAAATAAGTAAACATAGACCTTACTGGCATAATTACAAAACTTAATATTCCTCAGCTCTTTGTAGCCTATTTAATAAAAACATAAATTTGTTATTTAACACAGTGCTTAATTTTGTTTTGGTTACTGTTAAAATTAAAACAGTATTAAAAAGATAGTTACTTTCATATGCTTTAATTTCAAAAGATTTTAATAGAACTTGCATGACCCTTTTTTTTTATTTATTTTTAAAAATTTTAGATTTGAAACATCCTTCCATTACAATTTAGCAAAACATACAATATAATTTGCCAGATACAACACTACCAGTAATTATCCATAATAAATATGAGCAAAATATAACTTCTGGAACAGTTCAATCAATTTACAATGTATTATATACTTATTCTTAAAAATGAAATGAGCAATTTAATAACTGTCAAAATTTACATTTAAAGCTATAAATTAAAAAGTGTTTGTTTGTTCAATATGGAGGTATTTTATTTAGATCTAGTGAAATTAAGATATGAGACTCTCTACATTTTTTATGAAAAAATATCAAATGTGTATGTATAAAGCAACCCCCCATCCCCTGAAAAAAAAAGTTGCTGGTAATCTGGAGGTCTAAATTTTAGATAATTTCGGATACTGGATGTCAACATTTTGAACTTTGTACTGTATGCACACCCAATAATACTACAGCATGAAATAACAACAAAAAACAACATGAATATTAAGTTTTAGATTACAAACACTATAGTTATTCACCTCTCATGTCTTTTTCTATTTTTTTTTTTCCAGCATCTGATTTAATAACTTCTCACTTAGGGTACCGATATATTTTATGTAAAAACAAAAAATATTCTGAAATTGGCAAGTCCTTTGAAATACTTATCATACTAATATTAATGTATCTTTATGTGTAATTTTTAATGCACTAGGCTATCATTTAAAGCCATATCTACAAAAATAGCATACACCACATATTTTCCCCCCTCTGATTTTCAAGCAGCAACATTAGTAGGAAAAGGGGGGATACTTGAAATACTTGAATATATACAGAATTTAAAAGATGCTTTTACTACTACAGAAACAACAATTTAGAAGCAATGGTCATAACTTATTTGTATAAAGGCTAAAATTTTGAATTCTATATCTAATTAAATTTTATTATATATAACCCTTAACAATGTTTAATTTTCATTAGTGAATGGATTTTAAATCATGTAATTTTGACAGATTTTTCACAGCAATTTCGAATATTATAGATCTTTCCTGTCCTGAAAAACAGCTGTACTAAAGTAAATAAATTAATAAAGGCACGCTAATTGGTACTTTCTTTACAGAAAAGCCATAAAAAATTTTATTTACAAATATTTTCACCAATAGATTTCATATTACCAAATATAACACTGTCTGAAAGTCTTTATTTGATTCGTTCCTTAACCTGGAACTACATATAAGCCTATGACTGACTGTCCAAGAGATGTTCAGAAATGCAATCTTTTTTAAACACCTAATATAACCAGAAGCTAGTAAACAATCAGGCTATTAAGGAATGATAATGTAAGTTGTTAACATATTTAACTAAGTCATAAGAAAAGTAACATAACTGTTTCTAATCGAAATTATTAAAAAAAAAAATTGCAGTTCTTTTCTTTTTTTTTTTTTTTTTAATCGGAACTTTTTTACATGCTCTAAGAGCTTTTAAAAAAAATTTTTTTTTTAATAATCATAAATTAAAGATCTCCAGTTGTTGTCAAATGAAATTGATAATTAAAAATAATTTTGCAACCGTTTTAAAGCTTTATAATTTTTTTTTTTTTTTTTTTTTTTTTTTTTTTATAAAGAAGATTCATTCAAGATTAATGGAAAAAAAGATTTGATACTCAATACTTAAATATGGCAATTTATTTTCTTAAATGCAAGATCTAAGAAACATTCACTTAATGAATGCAAATTCAATATGTGTGATAATTAGTTATAGTGACTGAATGAATGCTTGGGGATTATTAATTTGACAAAATATATGACAATTAATCCTCTGAGCAGCATGACCGGCTTTGTGCGGTTAAGAGATTTTTTGTCACTTGATACATATTAGCTTATACATTAAGATATTTTGCTTTCTTTAAAAATGTAAATGTAATCTTGGTGAATGTAAGTTTATGAAAATAGAGGCTAAAATAAGTAATTATTTAAATTTAACTAATAAATTCTTCATAAACAGAATTCTGCGTACAGGGCTTCATGACAGATCCAAAAACCTGTGCCGCTCAGAGAGTTAAATAAAATAATTTCACAATTATTTAGTTTTCAGTTAAACTGAGAATTTTTTAATTGTCGACTTAATGTGACTGTCCACTAGATTCACTTTTGTGTGAAAACTGGAAGAGTAGTAACAGCACAGGAGAAGTTTAAAAGTACCCTTTATTAACTCTTTAAAATTTACAATGCATCACCTCAACGCTAACAAACTACACCTCTTCTTGGGCGGTTACTAAAATCAGATAACGAAACTAAAAATTTGAAGCTATGTACCAGTAATAGAACTATGCTACAGGGCTCAGCTAATTCCTGTTTTTTAAAATCCCATCGAAAACTAGTGGCAGCAAGTAAATGCCAGAGTTATTGCAGCCACCTTAACTAACAATAACTCTGGCAGCAAACGCTTAAGCAGCAGAGGTGACAGCAGTAACCTAACTCTTTTTTCTTACTGAACCTCAGTTTTTAAACTGTTTCTTCAAGGTAGAATTTGCATCCCTTCAAGCACGCTACCAAATTTAAATATTCTAGTATTGACAATTAGGGAATGAAGGTTTATAGTAAAGAATAACAAATTAAATAAAATTGGTTATTTAAAATAAATATAAATCCCTACAATTGCTATTGATTACGTTGAATAATCATAAGCAGTCAAATTAAAATGACACATAGACTAGAAAACGTTTCAAGTTCAATTTAACTCCCTCCAAAAGTCCACCAGCAATAAAATAAAATATACGTACATTCATATCTATACAAAATCAATATACCTGTTTAGCACCAGAGAAGGTGTGATAATATGAGGACACATATGTCATGACTGCACGTTCGTCGGGCATGGGTGTATTGTTGATGTCTGTGGAAAAGGGTAACACATAATAGTAAAACAAGCAAAATGGACATAAAAACAGCTACAGAACATTACCTGCTGCGCTCCCTGGAACGCATGATAGAAACAAGAAACATAAGTCATGACTGCACGTTCGTCTGGCTTGGGAGTGTTGACCATGTCTGAAGAGAGCAATTAATTACTTTAATTTTGAAATTTTGCAAAAACGTATTTAATCGGTTAGTTGTCCACTCCCATGCAGGTGAATGCATTACCAAATATCAGTCAATGAACCATCAGTAAAAGCAATTGTGTGGCAAATATCAAATCTGCATAAATACAGTAATTACTTATTTTGAAATTACCCAATTTTGTGAAGCAAAAAATTTCGAGAAAACACATTCAATATTCTATATGCCAAAGCAAAATGTCTACAACAGATCTGCTCACCCTTCTTCATTCCTGCTTAATTATTAGGTTGGCAGTATGCTATTTGTCAAAACTGCTTTACCTCTTACTTGCCGATGCTTATGGACACCCAGAAATGTATTTACGTTCCTGTGCCTTTACTTGCCTTTCAAATATATATATATATATATATGAAAAACTGAGTAAAATATTGCAAAAAATCTGTTGATGACAGATGGCATTAATACTTTAAACTTAATTTAAGATGCACGATTCATGTTACTGAACTATTTGTAACGCAATTCGCATGTAAAATATTTTCTACTCTTAATTGAGATTTAATTAATATTTTAATTCCAAGTCGTTTTACTTGCTAAATTTCTCAAAATTCCTACTAGTTTAAATTTCTTTTTTTAGTAATTCACAACATTCGGTTTTACTTTTGATTTTGAATTTTAACTTTTACCCTTGCTATATGGATGACGAAACATGAATTAAGTATTGGAGAGTTAGGTTTGGAGGAAACTTCCCCTTGATAAGTCAGTCTCCTGCTTGCTCAACAATTATTCATTTATGCAATTTAATTTGGTCTTGAAAGTTCCTTAAAAATTTTTTTGAATATTATACATTCATTCATGCTTTTCGACATGTGCACTTAATGTACATATGCTCTTAGAATTTAAATGATATTGCAAATTAGTTCACAGCAATAATTATTTTTATTTTTTATTTTTGCAATTAAAATTTCTTAATTAAATTTTTATTAGCTTTATACAAATTGAGAATATTTGTTAAATTCAAATTTCACTCCTTGCAGCAATGATGCAAGAGAATTATTCAAATTAAATTTAACTTAACTAACATCAAAGGCAAGATATATTCTTGTGAAACAATTAATATTTAGATAGATATTCTAAACTGTATACTCTTTGGCTAATTTTATTTTGCAAATTTCTTACATCTTCATTTTGAGAAAATCTTGAATGGAGATAAAATTTTTATTCATCAAAGTACTTTTAAATATAATAATGAGTGTAATTTTTCTGGATAAACTTGGTAATGTGCTATAATATCAAGCAAAATAAATACAAATGTTAACTGATTAAACACTGGTTGAATCTTCATGTAAAAATCTACAAATGTCTACAGTATATTAAAACAATTCAGAAAGACGAAATTTAATAACAAAAAAGCCCATAAAAAAGAAACAGTTCAAATGAAATAAAATTTTAAAAAATTCTGAAAATCTACATAGGTGATAATGAAGACCAACTCAGTCTGATTTCAAAAATTAAATGCATGAAAGATTTGGATTCAAATAATTTCATATTTTCATTTCACTAAAGAATTGAAAAATATTGTATACATTTTTGGATATTTGTTAAGTCAACAGATGCAGCCACCTTAGTAGAAGATGCCAATTTTTTTAGAATATATTACATCTGGTAACTAACACATAACTATTCTTCAAACAACCATTCTGATATGCGTTCTTTTTGTTGCATTCCAATAGTTTTTATAAATAAATCAGGATACTTTTTCCTTTGAAATTAATTTTAAAACATGTGCTTTTAGAATTTGCCTGCAGTAAAAGAAACTTCTGGAAAATTTCTACAAAAACACAGAATTTTGCCAAAAAATCTCTAAAGAGAACAACGAGGAAATGTATTTGGCAGAAAGCAGTTCTTACAGTAGATTTAGCAGCGATAGCACTTTGCTATTCTGCAAGGTGGTTGGGTTAATATGTAAGGACCCATTTTTGTTTCCTATCAACAGTTCTACTGATTCAGAGACTGATATTTAGATGTCATGCATTATTCGGTTTGTAGGCAGGTCACTCAACTAATGCTATTTGGATATAAATGTTAACTCTCAAACAACATGCAAAACAAATTTTTGACTACAAAATACACAATTAAGAGTATAAAGAGTAAAAAGGAATGAAATATTTCATTTAAAAATTATATTAAAATATTATCAACTAATTAAAGGATTTTTATTTCAGAGATAAATAAGAAAAAATTAGCGTGGATGACCAAAATTGTTTCTATGTGCAGAAGGCAAAAAAACTTGCAGCAGTTACAACCAATATAGAAACACAGAAATTCTTTTGATTAAAAACATTAATTACAAATGTGAATTACTTTTATATAACACGGAAAATATCAAGCAAAATTTATTTATAATCCTTTCACTCTTCACAGAAAATATTTAATTCTAGGTTTTCCATAAAAACTGCATTAAATTTTGAATATTATTAATTACTCTATCAATATTTTTTACTGTACTAGCTTCTTATTTAAGGAATAAATACTACTACTGCTATATTTAAATAACTGCCTACATTGGTATAATCTAATAAATCATTTAGCGCATTTCAATTACAGAGATTATATGAGCTTAAAAACTTTACACACATAAAGGATTAAATGGATTTATAACATTTATAATGTTAATAATAATTAGAAACAGGCTATTTAAAGTTTTTTTAAATGGATAATAGCAAAATTAGAAAGTAATTAACAAAATTAGTATCAAAATCACTCAAGCATGCCAAAAAAATCAAATAAATTCATTATCAGCTTACCTTCAGGATCTAACATTCTGGGGATATTGAGATATTTTTCAGCAACATCAAAGGCAAGATTCAAGTTATGAATAGGGTTATCCTGAAAATGTTAATAACAGTAAATTGAATTCCACTTTATAAAAACAATTAAAACTTAATAAATATTTTTCCTAGCATTAAATTTGAAATGCAAACTATAAAAACAGGAAAAGAATTCTTTCTGTAATAAGCTGCTTTATTATTTAAAATATCTCTAAAATTAATAGCATTCTACAGAATGTCAAATGAGTTTAATCATTACACCCGAAACTATTTTGTCAACAAATTCTGTCTGATAATTTTGATTTACCAGTTAATTTTCTATAGTTTGTTTAAAAATGTTTGGTTAAGTCATAGAATGTTCAAAAGAATTAATTTAAATTTTACTACAGGATGTCTTGATCAAGCCAAACTGACATTTTATTTTCATCCTCTTTATACTATGTTGAAAGAAAATAATTTATAAGTCCAGTTTATAAATTAATACATGTTACTAGTAGTATATGAAAAGCTGGCATTCTATATAGAACCTAGGAATTCTATAAAATGACAAATGCTGTTTAGACAAAGAATGAAAATTATCATGATAAATTTATTTTCTAAAGATGTGCATTCCTCAAAAATACAAATGTTATTTTGAAGAAACAAAAAACTTTTATTATGTATGAATGTATTAAATGTATGAATATTCGAAATGAATTGGAGATATATTTCATACTATGCCAGTTTGTCATTTGGCATTTTATAGAATGGCTAGGAAATGTGGGACATGTTGTGTTTCCAACATTGCCAAACAGTTTTTGGGATTCTATAAAATGTCCAGGTATTCTACAGAAAGTCAGCTTTTACACATTTCAATAACATATACATGCTTTTATTAAACAATAAGCATGTACAATTTAGAAATCGTCTTTAAAAAACTTTAAAAATACAAATTAATTGATAGTATTAAATCTGGATTTCCATTTTTGTTTGCAATATTTAATTACAGAGATATTAATAAAATATAATGCTAATATTTAGCAATTCCGATTCATTATTGTATATAAGCAATTGATAAACTAAATAACTTTTGCAAATATTTCTATTTTGATGCTTATTTATTTTTATTAAACTTTTATAATCCTATTAATGATCTTTTCATTGGTTTACAACAGCGGTCTTCAAACTTTGTAGATTCACAGAACTCTTAGAACTGTGATGATTTCCGGAGAATCTCATCCCACCCTTAGAAAAATATATTTTAATTTAATATTTAAATTATATCAATATGTTACACATATTATAATAATATAGGTACATTTGTAAAGATAGTTAAAGAAAAATACTGCATTTTTTGTCAAAAAAAATTAACATAAATTTAACACAATTTATTCATTAATATCATTAATTCCTGCTCCAGGTGTCACCTACGCTTTTATTATTTTAGTGATAGGAATATACTTGCTTTTTTTACATAAACACTAAAATTCTAGCTCTATTGATGTTACCTGCAGTCGCATTTCATATTCTGTATATAATTTGCGTCTATATTTTGTTTTTGTTGACACATATGTTGAGAAAGATTTACTTGTATAATACATTCTCTCGAATGACATTAGAATAAGTGTGAGAAATTTCCAGATATTCTGCATAAATCTAAAAACAAAAATTAAGGAACTGCCCTTGCTTAAATTTAGACTTTAATGGTGAGGCTGTTGATACGTCGATAAGTTGTTTCTGTTCCTTCATTGGCAAGCTTCTGATTTATCGTAATAGTTGAACAGATTTTTATAAAATCATGCTTACTTTTTTTTCTTCTGGGAAATATTCCCTTATAATTTTCTTCAATTGAAAAAGGGATTTCACTGTATAATTTTTAACACTGTTGTCTAAATTCATTTTTCATTACAAAACTGTATAGTTTTGCAAAGCACTGCGCATCACACATTGATACATTATGACCACTCGTTAAACATCAAAACTAAATGTATAATTAAATATATATTTATATTTTTTTTTAGTTAATAAACACTAGTGAGCTATTGTGAGCATTTTATAAATTTCTTTTTGAATTTTTATCTTGACACACGGAACCTAGAGTTCCATTTTCCCAGAACCCTACAGTTTGGAGACTACTAGTATACAAGTTACCAATAATCACCAAAAGGGTTATAAATATTCTGTAAAGGAATAGAATGTTTCTCCAATAAAGGAGCTGTGTGGCTGACACTTCACACAAATGTTGAAACTATAGTGCCAAATGAACTCTTGGCTTAATGACTAAATAATACTCTCACTGAAAATCATATGTATTATGAAACATCTAACCATTCATATTCTACATTAAACATGTGTTAAATAAATGTTTTCATTCACCATTTCATGTGCAAACCCTATTCCACTTGGAGGAATACTCAAAGGAAGACTATGATGATGCATGGCACTACTAAAAGGACAAGGTAAGAAAAGTGTTTCTTTTCCTTATTTCATTAATTTGGTGTATAAATATTTACATTACTTTCATTCCATTACATATTATATAACATTGCTATACTGAAAAGATATATTCAAGATAACATTTATAAAACTTATTTCTGAGATATATTATAAGTTTTAATCAATGTACCTCAAAACTTTGTACATAACATTGAAGGAATATAAATGAATATTTTTTGTTCACAACAAGATACAAAGAAGAAGCAAAATAAGTAATAGCAGCTAATCTGTTCAGTTTTCCAAATAATTATATTTTGTAATAATGGAATAATTCTTAAAATATAAGCATTGAGGCCTACTGCTAAAAACTAAACAATATCTGCCAATTAAATTTCTTTCATTATCATTCTGCCAATTAAATTTCTTTCATTATCATTCTGCCAATTAAATTTCTTTTGCTTCAATAGATACTACTAAACAGTTTCCGAAAGGGTCATAATCAATGTTTAGTTCAGGTTTTCAAATAATTTAATTTGTAATAATGAAATAATTCTTAAAATAAAAGCATGAAGTCTACTATTAAAATTAAACAATATTTTACGTTCTGTCAATTAATTTTTTTTTTTTTTGCTTCAATAGATTCCCCTGAACCATTTCAAATAAAATTGAAATGATACTGTGAAATGATATGATAAGAATATTGAACTATTTGTAAAACAGCATGCAAAACGTGAAAAATATTGCCCTAATACACTATTCATACACAAACATATATAAATAAATAAATAAAACATAACTGCAATTTACCTTTGTCAATTTGCTATAATCTAACAAATCAGGTCTGTGCCTGTGAATGAGAGCGCAGAAAGCAAGACCATCCTTCCAACTATAACCAAAGCAAAAATTTACATTAGCAATATCTATATCTATTCATAGGAAAAGGAATTAAGAAAAATCTTTAAAAATATAAATACTATCTAAACCAAACAAATAACTGCATTCTATCAACAAAAAATGCATTGTAATTAAATTATATTATTAAATATTAAAATTACAAACTCTCACAATATTGCAAAAATGCATAAGAAAAGTGGAGAATCAATGAAAACAAAATTACAGCTTTAGCAACAGTGAACTGGTTTATGCCAAATGGCCAAAATATCAGAACAGTCAGATCGAACTTTGCTTTTGTCAGGGGGGATGGACAAAAATCCCTCTTGTTCTAATCATTCATTAGGACAGATCAGCATTTTTAATACTATGCAATTTTCAAAAAGAAAAAGCAAATATAAAAAATTATTAATTCAAAACAATTGTATAGCAATATACAATTGTTTTAAATTGTATGCCATTTTTAATAACAGAAAAACAAAAAGCCATCAACAAAAAAGCATTGTAATTAAATTATATTATTAAATATTAAAATTACAACTTTGCTTTCTTCAGAATGTATGTTCTGAAGTGCTTTCTTCAAAATGTGTAGTATCATTAAACTCTGAAAATGTAGTTGAAAAATGCTAAAGAATGAAGAAAATATGACAAAGTACGTAAGCACAATAAAAAAACAAACCAAATAAATACATTCATTTGAACACTTGAAAATGGTTCAAAATGCTCAGTATCGATAAACTCTAAAAAGGAAGTTGAAAATGCAAATTAATGATGAAAAACATGAAAAAGCAAGTAAACACAATAAAAATGAATCAAATAAAAATTACAAACATAAAAGCAGCTAGTTCAGTTTAAGTCACTTAACAAAGAGGGGGGGGGGAATTATTCTCTGCTACCAATCTCCGAGTTAAAAAAGTACTTTTCGTTTTTATTTCTCAGTTACTCAGATCGATGTAGGGATTGGAGACATACAATTGTCTTGGATTGATTGTTTTTATTTATTTATTTATCTTCCATTTTGAAAATTACATAGTATCAGAAACAAGAACTGTCCTACCAATGAATTAGATCACAAAATGGAATTATTTTTGTGCATCTCCCTTGACAACAGCAAAATATACATCAATCTGAGTGTTCTAATAATCTATCCATTTGGCATAGACTACTTCACCTATATTTACTTCACTTACTTGTTTAGGTTCTAAATTTCTTTTTTCTAGTTCTCCACTTTTCCTTTCTCACTTCATCTTTCGAATGTTATACTTTCAGTGTTTAATTTAATTACAATAAATCTATGTATATTATGATTAATTTATTTACATAATTGTGCTTTTTTTTTAATTTAGCACAGATATATTCTTACATTACGTAACAATTGAGGTGCACACTATATGTTATTTATTAGTAAGAGAAATTCTTAAATGGCAAATTTCAAACTACAGGTCGTTTGTTGAAAATTCTCACAACAGTATGTTTGCTCGACATTCCTCCACAAATGAAAAATAAGTTTGAGAGAGGAGAAAAAAAATGCTGTTGAATTAATAGAGATGCCCAAATCAAAAAGGCAGCATTTGTACAAATGCAGGTTTCACCAAGATTAGATTTTTTTTTTTTTTTTTTTTTTTTTTTTGTTTTGGCGATGATGCAACAAACTAGCAACAAACAATTTCAAAAATAAAACAACTTATTTTCATAACACAAATATCATATTTAATTTAAAATTAGTTTTTTTTTTCATGTGAAATGTAAACTAAACAAAAACATGTTGTATTTCTTGATTTATCACTTGGGCTTGGCAGGCAGAAAAGTTCGTACATTTTTTGCGAGATAAGTGGATCCATATATATTCCGATTCCCGTAATTTAGCTTTAGAAAAAGTTTAAAAAATTCTCGGCTTGCTCATGGAAATGTACACTTATGAGCTATATATTAGTCCCTGCATATGAATATCCATATAAATTCAGAACAGTAAAAATTTCTTTCCAATAAAATGTAACAATTTATCAGATGCACTTTTCTTACTATAAATTAAAAAAATTTATATACATACAAAAGGCCATATAAAACTGTTTCTTTTTATAGACAAAAAGGCCATAAAACATTTTTAAATGGCCTTTTGTCTATAAAAAGAAAATTTAGTATTTCTGATTTGCATATAATTAACCAGTTAAAAAACAAATAGTATGGAAGTTTTGCAATTTACAGCTATATAATAAAATTAAATAGCAATTAAACCTCTCAAATTAGCACAAAAATTTAAAGATAGTTTAATGAAATATTACCTCAAATGGAAATTCTGTACATTAACATTTTTATAAGGCTGTGTTTTTCTTTGGCACCATAATAACAAGCCTTCTTTGGCTGTCATCTCTGCAGAATAGAATAAGAAAAGCAAAATTAAAGTTCTGGAATAAAACTTAATTAAATAAATACAAATTCATCAAATGAAACAGACTTCATACAAAAAGAATATGAGGTGTGACACACACACACGAGGGGGGGGGGAACGAAACTAAGTATGTAGCTTGAAAACAGAGTGGAATTGGGAACAACTGTTTTCACGATATCATGCCACAATCCTCCTCTATCCATGCAGCCAGTTTTGACTTAACCGACCACGTCAGTGGGGAATACTGCATAACTGAGTGAACATGTGCAACTGCATTCTGCTGGAAAAATGTCTAATGTAAAAACCGAACAGCAAGTCGACATCAAGTTTCTTGTGAAATTTAAGAAATCAGCCACGGAGGAAACATTTCAAATGTTAACCGAGGCTTATGGAGATGAAACTTTGGCTCATGCATGTGTGTTTGAATGGCATAAGCGGTTTTCAGCTGTATTCAGGGTAAGCAGTAAGGGACAGCATGGAAGATATGAACGTGCTGGGCGCCCCCTTGGGCATTATCATGATTGAATGGGTTCTCAGTGGTCAGACTGTTAATCTCAGTGGTCAGACTACTACATTGAAGTACTAAAAAGAATTCATGAAAAAAAGGCCACAGTTGTGGAGTGACGGATGGCTACCGCACCAAGACAACGCACCTGCTCACATGGCTTTATCTGTCAAGCAGTTTCTAACCAGCAAAACATTACTGTGATGGGGCATCCTCCTTATTCACCTGATTTGGCTCCATGCGAATTTTTTTTTATTTCCTAAAATTAAATCTTTTTTAAGGGGAACCCATTTTACCTCAGGCAAAAACAGAGAATCTCTTGAAGGGTCTTCCAAAAATTTCATTCCAGAGCTGTTACTGGCAATGAGAGCACCGAATGCAGAAGCGTGTGAAAGCTGAAGGGAATTATTTTGAAGGTGATAATGGCATGGAGAACTGATTCTGTAAGTACAATGATTTATTGGACCAGTCTTTTTTTTTTTTTTTTTTTTTTTTTTTTTTGTCACACCTTGTATACATACAGGGTGATTGAAAATTCATCATCAATATTTGGTGGCGAGGTAGGAAATAGGAAAAGAAGGAGGTTTCACATAGAAAAGTATGGGCGCAGACGAATGCATGGTGGTGCAGAGGGCGCTGTGTGTACACAACTTCCATACATAAGCACAGCTGTTTGACATGTGCAGCCAGTCGTCAGTCGACTAGGTGACTTTGCAGAAATAACATGAACCGGTATACGTGGAATGAACTTGCAGATATTCCTGTAAATGCCAGGCATATTCCAGAAGGTCTGATTGTCCATGCAACGCCGTTGTGAGTCATGCACTGCACATGGTCAGCAGTTTGAGCACCTCTTGTAAGTCTGTAAAACCGATGCAAAGAAATGTTACATGTAAGGTAATAAATGTTTTTTTTCCTTACTATTTCCATTTTATGTGTTCTTTCCATCATTGAAATAGGGTTATTTTGCCCTACTACATGGCATATGCACCCATGCATTCCTATGTGAAATCTCCCTTCTCCTATTCCCTACCTCCCCACCAAATATTGAGGATGAATTTTGAATCACCCTGTATAGTATATGGTGTTACAAAAGAAAAGTATAAGTCAATTTTCTGAAATATTAATCCTAGAAAATTAGGTACTTGTCTTCTGTGATGGTCCCAGCAAAAACGTGAATTCTACACATTTCTACAATGGCAAAAAACAAATGGTTACCAATCTCTGCATCTACAAGGGAAAAAACGGTTAGTGATCTGTGCACGTGAAAGAAACAAATAGTTAACGATCCAGCTGGCTTTTCATAACAGAACTGTGTCAGTATAATGGTTTTGCATTGCAAAATTTTCATTACGCTTACTTTTTTCAATCTTTCATCCATGAAAAAGAAGCTATAAATTGATGTTTGAGGCATTACTAACAGCAACTACTATACTATGGCCACCAGAAAGAGTCTATAAAAAATGAATTTTCCAGCATGTTTATGAAATTTCCTTGGTAAAGTGCTACCAAAATTATATTAAATATTAAACTGTATTTAAAATATAATAAACAGAATTTTATGCGTTTAATAACAAACACAATTCTTCAGCACTTTTATAAATGCTATTTTATCTAAATCACTGATATAATTATATAGAATACAGTAATTACTGTACATATTAAATAAGTTTTGATGAATAAGATCATTATTTCAAATAAATTACTGATAAAACTTATATGAAATATAATAAACACATTTATATTCAATTTCTTCCATATGTGTATATTAAATAACTTGTATTGTATAGATATTAAATTAATTGCCAATTTATCGTTTTCTATATTCAGTTTCATTTTCGTAGATGTTTACAACATTTGGCAACAAATTGCACCTTCTTGACCCCGAATAGTGCCAACGCCATTCACTTTCCTGCCAAGACCATTACAGAAGATAAGTACCAAAAATTTCTTCCAATCATAAAGTTTCTCAAAGGAAGATACAGAAATGTGTGATGGTATTCAAAACTGGGAAAAAGGCTTCTGTAAATATAAAATTTTAAATTTTACATCACAACTGAAAAGAAAAAAAAATCCACCTTAACATATTTATTATGCTTATTGTGCTTAAAATTATGCATCTTTAAGTGGGAAATTCAGGAAAACATAATAATTAATAGTTTTATACAAGCATTATAAATTTAATTTCAAGTGCTGTTTTACCCAAAAAAGAAACAGTAATTACTAAAAATGAGTAACTTGAAGTTTTGTAATTGCCCTCTAAATTTGGTTGTCAAAATGATGTCAAATTTCGATCAGTAATGAGCATTAAAAAGTGACAGTGTTCTTGAATATCTCTTAGAATTTTGCATTCAAAGGAAAAAGACACTGAATTTTATTACAGGGACCACATAAAAAATTAAGATTTTATATTCCCAGCACTCCAAAGATGAAACTGTTTTATAACATTTTTTTAATTATTTCAAGCCTCCTTTTCAATACTTATGTATTTATTATATGTGAAATAATAGTTACTTTTGATCAACCAAATTACCATACATATGTCAAATGACCATACAGTTATTTGTTCACAACAAAAATCTTCAAAACAGCAACTGTGTCACAACTGCCATCAGCTCTAGATAATTATGATGATCTCTTGCCAGTGATTATTCTGTTTAGCATCATTCTATTATATCACGTTCCTCAACATAATAAAAGACATGCATACATATAAATTATAGAAATGCATCTCAATATATTTAGAATACATTAACATTAACTTCTTATTTTATAAAATTTCTTGGTATTTTTATGCCAAATATAATATTTTAAAACCTGCATATTGAAATCTATAGATACATCTACAGAATACATTCTATACATCCATTAAGCATTATTCCCCTCCCCCCCCCATGACAGTCTGTAGCAACATCTGCCATGAGACTTCTGGTACACCAGTAAAATTTAGCCTTGGTAAAGTTGTCAAAATTATAAGTCATAAAATCAAGTGCAGTGCAAGTTGTATAATGAAAGAAGACCATGGTTTCACTCAACAGACAACGAGGACCGACATCATCAGCAACTACACCAATGCAGTAAAAGTGTTTAAAAAGTCATGTCCTGTAGAAAGAGTTGAAAATTTGCCGTAAAAACTGCACAGGGTTTACCATTGGGATAGGCGAAAATATAAGAGTTTATCATTTTATCAGTAGGAAGGAGTTTATACTTTTGCTTTAAGAACTAGTCTACTTTTCCCTTTAACCTCAAAACTAAACTGATGTTTGGATAGAGGAAAATATGGCTGGGGTTTTAGCCAAAAGATCGGCCTTTTTCATTTCCAGGCACCTGACAGTGGCTGGGGATCCAATGAAAAACAAGCTCCCAGACAGAGGCAATTGCTTTGGATGCGTTCATCTTAGTCTCTTCAACAAGAAAATACTCGCCAGGTATATAGGAGACAGCTGCCATAATTGCAATCCGGGAGTCAACAACTATAACTGCCTTGCTAAAGTTAGTATCAAGTCCAAGAAGATTTAAAATTGTTTTTCCCATGGCGAAAATCTCTGCATTGAAGTTAGAGGCATTAAGACCAACAGCATAGGATTCCTCAAAATATCCTTCACAGTACATCGCAGCACCAGTATTTCCCATTTTTTAAAATTACATATATAAATATGAAATAAAGAAAATCTATTTATATATGTAATTAAATAATACATATATAAATAGATTTTCTTTCTAATTATAGTAAATAAAATCTATTAAATGTACTGACTGAAAATAAAGCATACCTTCAACAGAGATATCTTGAATAGCAAACCTAAGAATGATGGTCCATATGAGCCCGAGGGTCATTTTTACATTTCCATCAACAATTTCTAGAAAAAAGGCAAAATAAATTTCTATGAATAACATATATTTTTTAATGTTAATTCACATATAAACATATTATTTGCTGCATTAGTCCAAAAAAAGATGATAAACCCCTTGAAAATTAAATCATTTTTGCAAAATATGCATATATATGGTACTGTCTTACATGCAAGATCCTTTTCCCCCCTTCTAGTGAAATACATTAATACAGGATTGTTCTGCATGAAAGACTGCATTACAAATAGGCAAATACTGCAATTCAATTAAAATGTTTAAAACAGACTTCGCAATAATATTTTGTGATGATAATGACAATGATTTTGATAAATTACTACCACTTTAAATATGATACCATGATTCTAAAATTTGCAATAATCTTAAAATGTTTCTTCATGACACAAGAGCAATAAATATTAATTTTTTAGATACTGAAGTATCGCAATGATAGTCTCGTGAATGTTATGTGCAATGTAATGGCATATTCATGTACTGTAAAGGCATACCTCATGTGAAATGAAAATACTGAAAAAATAAAATTTAAAAGACTTTGCAATAGAAACAATAACTGCAACCTTATATTGTGTAGTCTATTTTATTGCTATTATTACTATAATACATAAAGTAAAAGTCCGATTATCCCGCATTCAACTAACCAGAAAACTCAAGTAATTGGAATATTTCTGTTTAGAAAAATGCCACAACAAATTTAATATGTGAGGGATTTGTAATGCGATTATAGACCTTGTTTTTCAAAATGTGACAGAAAAAAAGATAAACAGAACTTATATATATATGATTATACAAAGTCCAGCTATTAATTTCCAGGACTCATGGAATAACTCAGAAGAAAAAAAGGTTAAACACATAGCCATTTAATATGATTCAAAGTAATCTCCATCAGCCATAATGCACGTCTGTGCTCGGCTGTACAAATTTTGGAAAGAAGTTTTAAAATCTTCTTTTGGAATGCTCTTTAATAGTGACGTTACAGTTTTCTTGATGGCTTCGACATCCTGAAATCTTGTTCCCTTCAGTGAATTTTTCAGCTTAGAAAACAGGAAAACGTCTGTGGGTGCAAGGTCTGGAGAGTATAGTGGATGCTGCATTTCAACGACACCATGCTGAGCTAAGAATCGCCTCACAGGTAATGCAATGTGTGGGCGGGCATTGTCATGTAGCAGTAGCCAACTCCCATTTTGTTGAAAATGAGGCCTCACTCTATAAATTCGTTTTCGAAGTCGGTCAAGAACTTCTGTGTAGAACTGTCCATTGATAGTCATGTTAGGAGGAAGAAATTCCTGATGAATGAGTCCATCGCAATTGACGAAAGTGATTAACATGATTTTGATTTTGGACTTTTCAAATCGAAATTTTTTCTGCCTTGGTGAACTTGAAGACCACCATTCAGAGCTTTGACACTTGGTTTTAGGGTCATATTGATAACACCAAGACTCGTCTCCCGTGACTATCCTATCCAGGAACGCAGGGTCAGCATCAGCGTTGTCGGTAAGCATCCAGCCACATGCATCCAGTCTCAATTGCTTTTGTTCGTCCCTTAAATGGGGAGGAACGAATCTGGAACAAATCTTGCGTTTGCCTAGGTCTTGCGTCAAAATTCGCCGACCGTCTCTTTGTCCATGTTGAATTCATTGGCGAGTACTCAAATAGTCAATCAACGATCACATTTCACCATCACAAATCTTATATATATATGTGGCTTAAGTGTTTGTTGCCAATAGTTTATTGGTTGCTTGTGTAACATTAAATTATTTTATTCCCTGTGCAGCGCAGCATGTGACGAATATTATGAGAAAGCTAAGCCGGAAAAATTAAAAATACAAGAGCACATGCATTTAACATTTAATAAATAAATTTAACATCTATATATAATAGAATTCAGAAATATGCAACCAGTAAAACAGGCGACGATAAAAAAACAAATAAAATGAAATAAATATCTTTATTATATGTGGCTTAAGTGTCTGTTTGTCACTGATAGTTTATTGGTTGCTTGCGTAACTGTACTAACCATGTCTCAGGGCCAAACCCTTAAGCGTGTTGACATTTTTTTACCTGAGCCTGCATTTAGACACGATCAACTTTATGTTGCCTGTTCAAGAGTTCGTGCAGAACGGACGTAAAATTAAAAATAATGGATAGTCCTCCGCAAGGCGAGCTTAAAAATGATGAAAAGATCTACACAAGAAATGTTGTCTACAAAGAGATCTTTGACATGTTAATTAACATTTTATTATTTAAATCACCTTTATTTACTGAGATAGTGGTGGCTCTTAAGAAATGTACCGCCAGTGGTTTCCTTCATTGTACTCTACTTTAAGCAATTAAGCAAGTAGAAGGGGGAAAACCCTGTGGGGCAGTAAGCAAAGGGGCTGTACTCGCTGCCTACCCTGGGTAATTCAGTTTGAAATAGCAGACATCTTTGCACAAATCATTTTAATTAAAATTTATAATATCTAGAACAGCGGTCATTTCTTATGACCGCCGGGCTTCCTAGTTACTTCATAGGCCACATGTTGCTGATAAGCTTTATGTGATAGATATCATGTTGCTCTATCCATCAACAGACAGGTATCAACATGATATGCTGATAGAATTGTCCATTGCTCTATCTAAAATTTTCTCAAACTGGCTGCCTCGAAGCAATTTAATGCGGCCCACAAAGACATTTCAACTACACATTTGTTACAAGATTTAAAAATTACAATAATTTGAAGTCTGAGATTATATTGTTTTCATTTCCATGAAAAAAGAATATGAATGACACATCAGAAATATATAAAATGGAGTTATTTAATTTACTATGGGATAGAAACCTTATTCAAAGGTTTGATAACTTTTATTTGTAATTGTTAAATAAATTAGTTACGAACTTTTGCAATAAGAATAACTGCTTTGTTTGGGAATACATTTAAATGAGAATTTGTTTTGATGGTTGAAAATTAATAAGAAAATAACCTGACTTATTTATGGGCATCTATGTATCATCCATCATGATAATTTCCATCCACGCTAAAAACTTTTATCAGAATTGAAACGTGATCAAGGTCAAGATATCATAAGATATAAAAATCTTTATTTATTTACAAACATATGTATTTTTATTCATGTGTCAAAGAAAAATTTAATAAATAACAGAAACAGACTAGGCTGTTATTATTTATTCTCAAGTTTTGTCCCACTTAGTAAAGTTTCTTTGTTTACATTTAATTTAAAGTAAGAATTATTTGAAGGAAATGTCAATCTATGAGCTTAACATAGCGGTCAGTATATTTGAATCACAAAATATAATCAAAAAAAAAAAGTCTTAGAGGTACCAAAATTTAGACTTCAGATGGAAAATAAATATAAATTTGATTTTTTTCTTTGCTGTATTATTTTTATTGTTTATGTATATTTCAATAAATATTTAACATGCAAAATTCTCCCCCCCCCGGTCAGCTGTTTTTAAATTGTGCATTCGGCCCACATGCAATTTGGGTTTGAGTCTATTGCTTTACATGATAAGAAGTAACTCATTCAATTTATAACAGACACTGTAAAGGCAAAAACTGGGATTTTTAATGTATTTCTTATAAGTTGGCATAAAGTACATACCTTCAGCACCAATGGAAACTAATTTGACACCTTTACTAGCTATAAAATCTAAGGCCTTATTGACATTGGCAATGTGATGAAACCTCATCTTTCCCCTGTCAGGCTTTGGCAATGTTTCACTGGATATGACCTCTAACAGTAACATAAGTTTTAATCCATTTCGAAAATCTTCTTCAATGTTCTCAATTTGAGTACCCGCTTTTCGTAAGTGGGAATTACACCATGCAGTAAAAGTCTGAAAGAATAACAAACAAGAATTAAATTTTAAATAAATTTTATTCCCATAAAATAAACAAAAGAATAAAATTTGAAAGCATACATATTTTTATAGTTAAATAATGATAACACAAAAACAATTTATTATAATTAAGAATATTTAGAGCAAAGTTTAAACCTTTGGGATTAATTTAAATATCAAATAACTGTCATTACATTTTTACAATTTAGAAGCCAAGGCTGAAAAGAAAGGGTAGAGTGTCAGATTCACGATTTTTATTAGAAAATCATAACATTCTAACTTATTCACATTGTAAAAGCTAGTAATAAAATTCAAAATCAGCTTTAAGTAAATTATTAGCAGCTTCTTTACTTCAAAATGTTTCTCAGCAAATATATTACAGTCAAAAGTCGTTAATCCGGACTCGTCGGGACTTCGGCGATTCCGCATTAACGATTTTTCCGGATTATAGATCATCAGTTTAAATGTGGTAAGATGGCATGCAGAAATTATAAAATTAAAAATATGAAACCGTAATTTATGAAATAAAGAACAATTATGATCTAAAGGGTATCAAAATTTACAAAAAAAAGCTTAATATTTATTTGTTTACTTTACTTTCTTCACTATCGGAAGCGAATTATTATGACGAGGAATTTGATTTAAATCATATCAAAGACGGAGTATATTGAGATGAAATATTACATTAAGGAATTATAAGCCAAATAAAATAAAAACATCTGCCCTGAGGATAAGGATAGCGCTGACAGATCAACTTCCAATTCATTGCGCGCCGCGGCATCCCCCCGCCGCAGAGCAGCGTGAAATTGATAAACAGATTTCGCAATGGTTAGATAAACAAAGAATATGCCTTTATCCATTTTTTGCAGCAATTCCACTTTTTGTTTAATGGACTTCGAAACATACTTTCGCTTTGTAGATCCTTTACATATTAGTAAATATATATCGGAAATTCTATTTGACATAATCGAAAGTTCAAGCTTACTTTTATAAAATTGCTCTAACAGTCTGCAAAAAATAATAAGCCGGATCCAATTCGAAGATTAAGGAACAACGCAATCTGCAACATTAACTGAATTAGATAATTTTAGCTTAGCTTATACCGTCCGTTATACATTAAACGCGCATGCGTAAACGTATTTTGGGCATGCGCACACGCATATTCGCAGCCGTAAAAATCTTACGCGCATGCGTCGAGGTCCGGATTATAGATCATTCTGGATTATGGGTGTCCGAATTAACGACTTTTGAATGTATTTAGCTAATAATTTACACTGATAGAATGGAAAATACATATAATGGAATACTCATACAAAAATAGAAGAGAAACACGAAGCAAAACATCAAAGCAACAAACTTGTGTTTGGCACAGATTTAGTCAAGATCTCAAAGATTTAAGATCTTTACTAAACATGAGTTTGTTGCTTTGCTAATTTTGTATGTTCAGATAGTTTGACTGCCACAATCAAAAACATGCATACCCTATCCAGATTGATTTATTCACAATTTTTTCCATTCTTATTTTTTCCCTGTTTATAATCACAGCATTCAAAGTGCACAGAATTAAGGTAAAAAATTACGTTTAAGTAATTTGAGCTGAAATATTGGTCATCATTTGTAATTAACTGTTCTAACACATTGTGTAGAATTTCTTGCATTTATTTATATATTTGTAAAAATATGAGTGTTTCCAAAATTTTGCCCATACATACATAATTTTACGATAAATTGTTATAAATAATTATTACGGTATAACGTTTATATTATTATTAGTAGTTCAACAAAATTATATTAATAATATTAGTTCAATATGATTGTAATAATTGTAGAATAATAAATGATTATTACAGTTATTTAATAAACTATAACAATCATACTGTAATAAATAACCATTACATTTCTTGATACTCTGTTATCGGGATTGGATTCAGAAATGTACGTATGTATGTATATGTTCATTGCAGTCAAGCACGTATATTGGTATGAGGGTATCTATTGATATGAGGACGACACACACATATATACACATGTGCATACATATAAAAAATTTTGGAATTCGATCCCGATAACAGAAGAATACCCAGTTTTTTAGACTTTTACAGTAAAACTTATATGTATTATTATTCATAATGGATTTAAAAAAATACTAAATTAATTTTTTAGGGTTGAGAAAGAAAACTATTCTTGTAATAATGGCAAATATTAGATTAAAATACTGGCAAATGTGATGATTACAATATTAGCAAATGTCTCGTTAAATCAACAACATATCCCACTAAAATAACACAAAAACTCGTTGACCATTTTGTTCCATACTACAAGACCATTTTGTTCCATAATACACTTTTGCTAAAAATATAGTTCCATGATTTTCAGTCATTTTATTTTTAAAAATAAGTCATGGAATATGCACTGTTGGTACCAAATTCATAAATCATAAAAAAAAAAAATTCAACATGCTTAGTTTCTAGGTTTCAAATCAATATGAATCTTAATTTCTGCTCATATAAACCAAAGGTGTGAAAAGCATATGATGAAAGAATCCGGCAATGATATGAGAACTTTCCTTCTTTCCCTCAAAGAGAGGACCTCGTGTGACACATCATCCCATAGCATGTAATTCACACTCATTCTGAACGATTTTAAGTGTTTTGAAGAATACAAACCAAAGTTGTGTTTGTGATGGTTGAACTATATTCTTTTGGGTACTTTTCCAATATACATTTGTCATACTTTTTTTTTAGCCCATGTGAAAGAGAAGCCAAACATATGCCATGACCCAATAATAGCCCAATCTAGGTGTGCATGTGTATGAAAACAAGAAAAATTAAATATGCATGTTATTGCAACAGTATCATCAAAATGTATAGCAGCTGCACAAGGGGTCCAGTACATTATGATATGAAATATAAAAACCAGCATAGGATTTATTCTATACTAACAATGCATATAGATTAAAAATTTCTCTCATTCTAAGGATTCATCTTATATAATAATTTCACAGATTCTAAGCTAGTAAATTTGTTAAAAATGTTTACGAGCAAGGCCTTTTTCATAGGATCAAGCACACTCATTTATTTTACCTTATATCATATAAAGAGTAATCTTATAAAAAAGGATTTATAATCCATAAGCTATGTATCTACATTTCAAATATTCCAATAATTCTCGTTCATCCAGAAAAAAGTGAGGTATAGCTTTGCACAAACTAACTGGGTTTGATTTTTATTAATGGATTTGGAATATTTAATTAAGGCACAGCACTTAAAATCTATCTGATTTAAAATCCCATTACATTTTAGAAATGAAAAAATATTAAACTAGTTTCATAGCTGTTAATAAGAAAGCAAATTTTTTACTGAATATGATTTGGAATAATCTGATCCTTAAAATCCTTTAAGAAATTTGTATTTTATCCGTTTTTTTAATTAGAATTCCAAAATTTAATTTCTAATTTTCAAAAGAATGCACTTTTTATAATTATGAATCTTCCAACAATATTCAATAATAAATCGCAACTCCATTAACAGATGGCGCTGTGTTCATTTCCTTCTTCATTACTTTGTTAGAACAGATAATTAACATAGAAGATTTATCTTATCTAAACGATATTAACACGCTGGCGAAAGATGGAAATATATTTTTAGGAATGAAAAAATTCTGTACCATATGACTGTTAATTATTTGAGATGTTAAACTGCTAAATATTCGACAAGCATTGGAAATATTCTACGGCATTTTAATCATTCAATGTTAATTTGATTTCATTAACTTTAAAAAAAAATCGCCATTAAATAATAACGAGTTCACATCTGTATGTATTGTACGGGTAAATATGACGCGCTCAAATCTTTTCCTCAGATTTCTCAAAAGAAAAATCTCAATAAAAACAACGCGACACGAGTAACCAGACACGAGACCGTGCCGCCACACGCTTTCTTTTTAAGGTGCTAGGTAGACGTTCTAAAACCGCGCCCACGGTCGAACTGTACTTGAAGAAAGCCAGGAAACTTGGGCTATACCGTCGGCAAATTCCGAGTGTGACTCAAGTCGTTCCCGTTTCTAGAGCGATATAAATATCCTTTTCTCCGTTCAGTATCGTCTGCATCGTATAGTATGTGGTTTGAGATGGCAAGGTCCTCCATATAAGGATGGGAAAGCTTTTACGTTATGCCGGAAGTAAAGACAACTCGCCGGGCTTACCGTATCTTGGAACTGTAGATGTTTTTGATAGTTTACGTTCATTGAAACTATTCCGCATGTAACTGATTGCCAAGACAGGTAGCAAAAATATCAAGCAATTGCAAGTTGGTAGTTTCTCAAATTGCTGAAATGTTCTATTTTTATAAAAATATTTTTGTTTGTTCTATATTGATCAAAATAATAAATAATCAATTTTCATAAAACATAACGCGTTACAACTAACAAAAAATTCTGAAGATATTTCACTAAGCATAATGTCTTTATTTAACAGATTTTTTTCCGAAGAAATGAAAGAATGCAGATTTTAAAGTCACACCAAAATATTTGTTAAGGTTTTGTAAAGCTCTCGCTGAGCATCGCAGGTTACCAATCTGCTCTTGCTCCTGCTAACACAATTCCTTTTTGTCTTTTTAGCTTTATTATTAAGCATCACTTTTTCGCACTCATGTCAAATAAAATTCAAGAGCAAAGTCACAAATATTTAAAAACAGCATATTTTTAGAATTCCTGATAGAACGTTAAGAGTTGCCATACTTTTTTTAATATGTGTAATATTAGTTCTTTGAAAACTAACTGCAAAAAGATTTATCATAAAAAAAGAAAAATATATATAATGATTTTAATGAGTCCGACTAACGTCATTTCATAAAAATATCCAATATTTCTAATTGTACATGCTATGATTTTAATGCATTTTTATTTAGATCAAGCATATTAAAAAGTAGGAAAAATATTCTTAAGAACCGTGTTTTTTGCTTTTAAATCGCTTACTTTGTTGCACAGTAAGTAACCTT